AGCCTATAGTCACACTTCAACACCATGCTGAAATATTAAACAAGCAGCGTTCAATCATTTACCACACTCCCTTTTATCATAGGCCTTACAATAAGCCTATAACATCACCCCGCTCTCAAATATTAATAATCATGCAACATTCAAGCAATATTTTAACCACGCATTCTCTTCTCACAAGCGTGACACAACAAGCCTAGACCGCGTTCCGTCCACCATCAAGACACACTCGTCCGACATTCACTTGCCACAACACCTTCAATTTTCCCAAGCCTTCCCTAACTTTGAAAAATCCTTACGCAAATGTCACGCTTCTTATGGGGCGCGACTTTAAACCAACACAACGGCACGGCAACCAGCAATGGTTGTGTAAGGTTTGGGGGACAGTTTAACAAATGTTCAGGCCGTCACCGGTCAGATGGGGTTTAGTTGAGACACACCAGGAGATGAGAGAGTCTAATGATGGTAGTGCATTTCAATGGATTGCACGGGCCAACGAGATGAATTGCACGGGGCAATGAGATGAATTGCACGGGGCAATGAGTTGCAAGTATTTTATACGGATGTGCCCTTTCACTGAAAGGCAGTAACAAGTCTTACATAGCAGGTGTGATGATCGTCCTTACAGGGCAGATCAATCGACCAGCTGCATTCTGACCACACCCATGCATAATTTAGCGGTACACAGAGCTCAAGTACGCTTAACAAGCAAATTAAAATGCCACGAATATATAATACCAACGCAAAATAAATACCGAGTGTATGGGTTTCGCTGTCTGGTCAATGTTTAGTAATGTGCATCTGGTTATGGTTCGTGTTAGCTTCGTGCCGAGTTCGAGTTAAGTAGTGTCCAGGGTTAGGTGTAGGGATAGAGTTGGGTGCAAGGCTGGGTAGCTTGGGGCTATGGTTTGGTGCAGGATTAAATATATGGTTATGTACGGCCTACACATAACCGTATACGGCACGGAGTTGTGTGTGTAGGGATCAGTGGCGTTGTTACGGTTAGGGAAAACCAGTGTTAATAAGCCTGTGGGCACGCGAGTCAAGTCTTGGTGCATTTCATGGAGCCTTTTAGTCATTCTCTCAAGTCTAATCGCATCGATTACCACCTCTGCACTGCGTTTTTTTCTGCAATATCGATGCCTTTAGGTCTTGTCAATGCTGCCGCTCAGCTCACGTGGTCCCACGGATCTCCCCGAAGCATCGCGGATGCTGCCGTGTAAAATCGCCGTAAAACCGGCGAAACGTGACCACACCATCCCCGCATAACAATGCCAATAAATCTTCTTGGTTCTTTCGGTAAAGTCACGTAGAAGGGAAGTAATAAAATAATAAAAATAAAACTTAATAAAATAATTCTCATGACGTTTCGGCCACAACGCAAGCAGCCGTCCTCAGGTGAAGAAGTCTTCACCTGACGGCTGCTTGAATTATTCACCTGATGACGGCTGCTTGAATTATTCACCTGATGACGGCTGCTTGCGTTGTGGCCGAAACGTCGTGAGAATTATTTTATTATGTTTTATTTTTATTATTTTATTACTTCCCTTCTACGTGACTTTACCGAAAGAACCAAGAAGATGAATCCCTGCAGTCACGAAAGCTTTGAATCAAAATATAATGCCAATAAACTTAAAAGCCGGGAGCTGTCCAACGTTTCGGTCTCGTTTCCTGGTCATCAAATGTTGCTGCGAGGGTCAGGGGACGTGAACTCTATCACCCCCCCACCTTGCTTACTGATAAAGACTTCCTTGTACCAAGAACGTCCTCTCCTCATTAACCTTCGAGTGCTGATCAAGATTAGCCTGGGTCCATTCAGCACCTTTGTTATCGCTGTCAGAGCGATGTCAACCACAAAGCTGTCGTTTTTGATCGGCAATTCACGATTCTCGCGGTGATCACGGCTTCAAAAGAAAACACGTACACGCAACATCGAGTTTTAAATTAAAGTTAAGCCCAGTGTGGGCTTTTATACATAGATACTGTAATACACACGTGTAAAGGTTAAGTGTCGAGTTAGGTGAACGGATACGAGTGAGGTTTAGGGGATAATAAACGAGGGTTTTAGAATCTGGGTCAGGGATAACGATCGGATTATGATCGGTGCTTGTTAATGGTAGTTGTTGTTGTTTTTGCAGCCGGATGAGGTCGTAAACAATGTGACTCAATAGGTTTGTCCGTGTTTGTTTATTGTAGTACGGAGTTAGACTGACGGCCTTAATCTAGGTTGTCTTGTGGTTGTTGTTGTTTGACTTGCATTCCACTGGGATTTTTGCACACAGTGTTGGTGTACGGTGCTTTTTCTGCAATATTTTGCTGTCTTTTCTTGAATTTTCTGTTTGCACATAGTCACTTTAAGATGTTTTCTTATTCATGTTTTTTGTTTGTTGCGGTTGCACCCGATTCAAGAGCCGAATTGCTCACAGGGCTACACCTAATACATGAAACTGAAAAAACTTAAATAGTTTTTTTTTTAAAGGTGCCCGCACGGGTTGGAGAACGTGAATAGCCGGATGTGGTGATGGTCATCGTCAGTCCACCGCTACTGTACGGCAATAAGTGGGTGCCGGTTATCGGTGGGGCAAGGCAGCCGTCCTGATACAATTCGCCAATGTTATAACACACGCCACGACGACAGCGGCGTGTGTTATAACCCGACACACAAAGACAACGATCTCTTCCACCCCCCCCACCCCCTAATAAGAGCTGTAAGAAGAATGTTGGGATGGTAAGAGCTGTAAGAAGAATGTGGGGATGGTAAGAGCTGTAAGAAGAATGTTGGGATGGTAAGAGCTGTGACAAGAATGTTGGGATGGTAAGAGCTGTAACAGGAATGTTCGGATGGTAAGAGCTGTAACGAGAATATTGGGATGGTAAGAGCTGTAATAAGAAGTTTGGGATGGTAAGAGCTGTAACAAGGATGTTGGGATGGTAAGAGCTGTGACAGGAATGTTGGGATGGTAAGAGCTGTAACAGGAATGTTGGGATGGTAAGAGCTGTAACAGGAATGTTGGGATGGTAAGAGCTGTGACAGGAATGTTGGGATGGTAAGAGCTGTAACACGAATGTTGGGATGGTAAGAGCTGTAACAAGGATGTTGGGATGGTACGAGCTGTAACAAGAATGTTGGGATGGTAAGAGCTGTAACAAGGATGTTGGGATGGTAAGTGCTGTAACAGGAATGTGGGGATGGTAAGAGCTGTAACAAGAATGTTGGGATGGTAAGAGCTGTAACAAGGATGTTGGGATGGTAAGTGCTGTAACAGGAATGTGGGGATGGTAAGAGCTGTAACAAGGATGTTGGGATGGTAAGTGCTATAACAGGAATGTTGTGATGGTAAGAGCTGTAACAAGGATGTTGGGATGGTAAGAGCTGTAACAAGGATGTTGGGATGGTAAGAGCTGTAACAGGAATGTTGGGATGGTAAGAGCTGTGACAGGAATGTTGGGATGGTAAGAGCTGTGACAAGGATGTTGGGATGGTAAGAGCTGTGACAAGAATGTTGGGATGGTAAGAGCTGTAACAGGAATGTTGGGATGGTAAGAGCTGTAAGAAGAATGTTGGGATGGTAAGAGCTGTGACAGGAATGTTGGGATGATAAGAGCTGTGACAAGAATGTTGGGATGGTAAGAGCTGTGACAAGAATGTTGGGATGGTAAGAGCTGTGACAAGGATGTTGGGATGGTAAGAGCTCTGACAGGAATGTTGGGATGGTAAGAGCTGTGACAAGAATGTTGGGATGGTAAGAGCTGTGACAGGAATGTTGGGATGGTAAGAGCTGTGACAAGAATGTTGGGATGGTAAGAGCTGTGACAGGAATGTTGGGATGGTAAGAGCTGTGACAAGAATGTTGGGATGGTAAGAGCTGTGACAGGAATGTTGGAATGGTAAGAGCTGTGACAAGAATGTTGGGATGGTAAGAGCTGTGACAGGAATGTTGGGATGGTAAGAGCTGTGACAAGAATGTTGGGATGGTAAGAGCTGTGACAAGAATGTTGGGATGGTAAGAGCTGTAACAAGAATGTTGGGATGGTAAGAGCTGTAACAAGAATGTTGGGATGGTAAGAGCTGTGACAAGGATGTTGGGATGGTAAGAGCTGTGACAAGGATGTTGGGATGGTATGAGCTGTAACAAGAATGTTGGGATGGTAAGAGTTGTAACAGGAATATTGGGATGGTAAGAGCTGTAAGAAGAATGTTGGGATGGTAAGAGCTGTAACAGGAATGTTGGGATGGTAAGAGCTGTGACAAGGATGTTGGGATGGTAAGAGCTGTAACAAGGATGTTGGGATGGTAAGAGCTGTCAGCGAGTTAGCACCCTTTGAAGGCCGGCACTGTGGCACACGAGCGGGCCGGTCAACAAACCTCGCCCGGCCGCCTTTGTCTCCCTAGCCACAATGTTTACACACACCGCACCAGGTACTCATTTGAGGCCGAGTCGACCTAGGGGGGGGGGAAGTTGCCCACCCGGGTTCGATTCCCCGGTCACGGCTCTTCGACAACCCCAGTGGGCGAGTTACATCCGAACAGATTCCTGGCGCCCCCCTAAAACCTCCCTGGGCCCGCGTCCTGCTTTAACCCCACTACCAGAGTGGTGAAGTATGGTCATACAAGCCCCCCACCACCACACCACGACTTTAACGAAGCGAGCGAGGCCTTTCAACCCAAGCTGCGCTATTGACAAAGGGCAGGGAAGGGATTATCGTTGTGATAACGACGGTATCTTATCCACCGGAATCAACCAATTATATCACACGCACACACGCACGCTATTGTACTGTACTAACGTCTATAGCCACGTGCTATTTATGAATAAACTGCCGGACGCAGAGGGACACGCACTTCTTGCCAGACCCTGTTGCACGTGAACACAACTACTGGGAGGAAAGCGTAAACTAGTAAAAAAAAAAACACATCAATGGAATGCCATTACACGTCTTGTTGTTGTTGTTTGTTTGTTACACAATGTACCGGCGAGACAAACACGCGCACGCTCACTTACCCATAAGGGATCGGAGCCGTCAACGCTACAGAAGTCGTCCATCGCCCCGGACGGACGCTCGGAGCGATCTCGGATTGCAGATGAAGCGAGAGAGGCGCAAAATTGTAATTGGCGCGGCCGCGTTCCGCCAGTTTAATGTTTAAGCCGAACAGAGCTCCGCGCCCATAAGAGGAGGAGGATGATGATGAGGAGGAGAGGGGGGTGGATATAACGACGTTGACGTCACAGCGACACGTGACCTGTCGCGGCCATGTTGGTCAGGGGACCGTAGGGGGGGGGGGGGCGGTAGCCATATTGGTTAGGTGAAATTTTTTTTGAACCGTATCAAACCCAGACGGGTTTAGGGATCGTCCATAAATGACGTCACGCGATTTTGGACGATTTTTGACCCCCCCCCCCCTCGTCACACGGCGTCACAAAAAGTCGGACCCCCCCTTCAAATATGACGTCACAAAGCTCTGCCCCCCCCCCCCCCAAAATAAAACATGCTTCAAATCGCTTTAAACTATTGTCATTGTAGTGCGTATTTAATGTGGCACTGCACTCTGATGTTGTAGGAGAAAACATTTATTAAAACGTATATTTAATTAAGTAGAACGTGTTGTCTATGATTATTTAAAGTTTCGCATTTTGATGTGACGTCACATTTCTCAAACTCCCCCCCCCCCCTCGTCACACATAGTCACAAATGTCTGACCCCCCCCCCCCCCAGGTGCGTGACGTCATTTATGCACGGCCCCTTAGCCCCGTGTTCTTGTACAGGAAATTTGAGTTTTCAGGTCCATACGGCATACAGCCGTTTCCATACGAGCACATCATTTTTTCTATTTGTGTTTCTCGCCCTTATGATTGGACGTTGGAGGATGAGCGTTCAGATTTGTAAAGGGCACGGGGTGACCAATCAGATCTGAATTGGTCTGTAATAACGTAGGCATTGATAAGGGGTTGACAGGTATGATATACACTGCACTATACACTACACTACTATACACTTCACTATACACTACACTACTATACCATACCTGTCAACCCATTCGGTTTACCTCGTATTCTTTTACAGGGGAATTTAGTTTTCAGGTCCATACGGCGTACAGCCAATTCAATACGGACACACAAAAAATAAATGTCTATTTGTTTGTGTTTCTACCTTGTGATGGGACTTTGTAGGATGAACGTTGAGATTTATAAGGGCACGGGGTGACCAATAAGGTCTGAATTGGTCTGTAATAACGTAGGCACTGATAAGGGGTTGACAGGTATGGAAACGTATATCAAGTTAAATTATCAAATCTATAACTTACGAAAAGAACCGCCCCCCCCCACATCATAACAGAAAAAAATGTGCAGACCGGATAACCACGAGTCTCTAAAATAACAGGCAAGAAATGTATACAAGAAATGGCAAGAAATGTATACAAAGCAATCAGCCGTGGTGCATTTTGCTAAAAACCATCTGCAGCCTCTGAATACATGCATTGTGTTCCGCTTGCCTTAGGACACTCTCAACATACATTTGTAACAGACTAAGAGGCAGCAGTGATAAAGAAATAGACAACTTTAGACCTGTTCAAGTGTTACGAAATGCATTATGGTAATGTGAGTAAGATAAAATCTCTTGCGTCATTCAGACTCATAGTTGACCGGAAATAACACGTGCCGAGGCAGATGATGCATAGGTGTGTCGTTAGTTCTTAGAAGCCGTCCATAAATGACGTCACGCGATTTTGGACGATTTTTGACAACCCCCGTCCATCGTCACACGGCGTCACGAAAAGTCAGACCCCCCCCTCAAATATGACGTCACAAAGCTCTGCCCCCCCCCCCCCAAATAAAACATGCTTCATATCGCTTTAAACTATTGTCATTGTAGTGCGTATTTAATTTAATGTGCCGCTGCACTCTGATGTTGTAGGAGAAAACATTTATTAAAAAGTCTATATAATTAAGTAGAACGTGTTGTCTAAATTTATTTAAAGTGGCTCATTTTTATGTGACGTCACATTTCTCAACCCCCCCCCCCCCTTGTCACACATGGTTACAAATGTCTGACCCCCCTAGGTGCGTGACATCATTTATGGACGGCCCCTTATGGAGACTTGAGACGTCCTTTTAGAGGCAACACGGTTAATTGTAACTTATTACAGAACTCCCTTAACTTCCCCTATCTAGGTAGGTACAGCCTCCGAGCTAGCGGCCCTCCCACTGGGTAACCTGGCTCCCAGCCCTCCGGCTATCTGTGCCCTAGGCGAGGCTGACTGACCAGACCCAGCCAAGGTACGGGTCCTGACCACTGGTCCAAGCTCGGCCCGGCCCTTACAAGGACGTCGGGCTCAAGGTCCCATGGTCCTCGTCTCGCTAGTCTTCTGTCTTCGTTTTCCGTAGCACTGCCCCTTTTATCCACCTCCAGGGGACTCTCCATCCCCGGTACCGCCCCCTTTATAGAACCTTCCAGAGGATCCTGGAAGGGCCCCTCCCCCAGCCCCCCACCTGGGGTAGGGGAGGGGAACCCAGCCTCACTCGGGTCCAGCTCTCTCTCTCTCTGGTTCTTTCGGTAAAGTCACATATAAAGATTAAATAATAAATTAAATAATAGCATACTACGACGTTTCGATTGCAACACAAGCAATCATCATCAGCTCTCTCTATCCCCTTGTACAGGCTAGCACACCCTACAGACCTCTGGCTGTAACTGCAGGTAAGTGGATACAGGCGGTGTGTGCATACGCGTTTCCGACACTTTATTGGGAATCCTACAGTGCTTACCTTATGGACAAAATATTCCCGGCATAGAAATATGGAATTTCCGCCGTTGGCTCATGGTTGTGAGAAAGTAATGATCCATATCGGGGCAACCCAAAACGGTTCTGTCATGAAAGACTACACAGGCCGTAAAGTGATGAATATGATTGTCATCTCACGTAACTAACCACAATAAATACCAATGCAACAATTGCACACAGATATTACAAAAATAATATTTAAATAATCGAGTATTCTACCGATCAACGGTTCAATCAACTCGACGGATTGGATAACGAGTAAACAGTTAGCGGGGAAATAGTCGCGTCCTCTGATCCCTCGTGTGCCGCTGGACTGGAGGTCATGGGAGGGTGTTTGTGACGTCACAATCTAAGATGGGCGTGGCTTTTAGTGAGGGTTGGGGTTTCCCGCCTTTGCAGGGCGACGGACAGCTGTCATTTATAAAGGGGCCCGAGTAATCGACCACAAATAAACAAGCCAATTTCGATTTTAAGTCGAATGGACGTCGATGAATCGACCATTAAAATCGATCGATCCGCTGAATATGTTAAACTAGTGAATCGACTAATGGGATATTATTACTGGTAGGAACGAAGTGAACCAGCCTCCAATAGATTATATCGTCCGTCCGTCCGATGTCCGATTAGGTGTAGCAACATCGCCCCCTACTGCAAACACTTGGCAGGACCCTACAAAAACCTTTAGACTCAGTGAGGCTTTCCTGGCTAAACAAGTGTAACATTCCCTTATAATTCCCTGAGATAGTTTTTAATTAAAACATTTAAATTAAAAATTTACTCACAGCGGCCTAAAGCCTACAGCTAGGCCTAAAGCCTAGAACTAGGCCTCAAACTCTCCCTTCGTATCGTAACACCCGCGTGTGTGAAATTTCATTATAGCCATTCATTTGTTCGATCCTACCAGCCCACCCCGCAGGGACCTGTTTCCACCAAATGGATCATCGTCATCGACTTCGCCTGATAAAAATCGGTTTAAAATTATTAGGGGCATTACGTAATTTCAATCGCGAAGATGACGCCATTCTCCAAGTTAATGACGCCACACTCGTGTCGATGATGACGTCACGAGGGGGTACCGGCGGGGGGGGGGTTGCGGCGGGGGGGGGCGAGGGGGGGTCGGAGGGGGGCGGGGGGGTTGGAGGGGGGCGGGGGGGGGGTCGGAGGGGGGCGGGGGGAGGGGTCGAAGGGGGGGTGACGGCGACTGGGGGGGGGGGGGGGGAAGTCGCCATTTTACTAATTTAACGGCAACGGTCGTTTTACGACCCACACAGAGAGGGGGGAGGGCTCGCGGGCTGAGAAGCGGCGGCGCTTTGCGACATCACGTGACAAGAAGTGATCTTTACGGCAGCCGCCCGCTGTTTACAGGGCAGACGGTAGCGCCCCGGGGCGGCCTTTGGCGTTCGCTCCTTCGCCAGAGTGAGGCGGCTTTCTCCCTCATCTCTCTCTCTCATCTCCCTCTCTCACGGGACAACTTGCAACCTGAAGCGTAGGACACTCGGCTGGCAAAGCGACAAATCATCAGGTGAACAAAGGTCAATTTGGCCCCCCCACCCCCCCTCAATTGAAATGTTTTGGGGGGGCCACGGTAGGCCCAAGGCTTTTGTGTACAGTAGCGCACTGTACCCGTATTGTTTTGAATGCCCTAAAAAAACACACGGAGCGTTGGATATTTAAGACAAAGCCTCGTTTTAAACGCGTCGACTGTGTAGGTTTTTATTTAGCTTATTTCTTTCACTTGAAGCGCTTGTGTTTTGTCCATAGGTGTGTTTGCCGCGGTTGTTCTAAGCGCGGTTTGGCCCCTGTTATTGGACCTTACAATTCCCGACTACTACCTCGGGGCTGTACAAAGCTACATCCTTCGTTTGAGCAGGGACAACACCTTTTCGTGCGTTTAAAAAAGTGTATTGGCCTTGTCTATTAACGCAACTGAAATTTACGTAACAAGCAATTGTGTAACGCTATTACTGCGTTGTGTGCGTTTTGGTGGCTTAATTGGCTCCTTAAGGCGATGGGCCTTCCTCAAGACGGTCTCGTGACAACAAATAAGTCGTTCTTGAATAACTTCGGGAGTAAATTAACGCGGCCTTTCAGCAGCAACAACAACCACCACCACCACTGTTTCTCCACGCTGCGTTCAAACGCGTGCCGCTCATTAAGCAATTACCCCACCGCCCACTGTTGATGTCAAGCGCACGTGCAAGCTCTGCACGTTTTGAAATTGGTAAACGCTGATTAATGAGGGAAACTTCAATCGCCGAACCGATCAATCGCATCGCCTGCGAATGCGCCATCCATTAGCGACATGCCGGTGGTGTGTTTGCTGTGAACCAGCGGTTGGGGAAAAAAGTAACTTCGTAAAATGTTTCAAAACTGTTGTGTTTAATCCAGACATTTGAAAGAATAAGAAGCAGTAAAATTATACAATACAAAAAACATGCGATTACAAAGGAACGGGACGTTTCATGTAAAATCTGTGTACTGACGAGAAAAAACTCCTCGTACTATAAGTTTCAATTAACACGCAAACACGTGTATATGCAAAAACACACAAGCACGTGCATATGCAAACAATCAGCATTTCCTAAAGAAGTGCAAATGCGGTCTTCGCGTGTTAGGTCGTCATCAAAATAAATTGAAAGCAAATGATGACGACATCGATCCACAGTTGTCTTATCACTGCATTACTGGGCGCTCTCGGTCGGTAGGTCACATTTGATCATTTATCTTGAAGGTGACCTAAGATAAGATGACAACTATCTACTATGTCGCGAAATGCTAATGTTGTTTTTTTGTATGTGCACAGAGGTGTGCTTTCTAAACAATTGGAATTCTATATTTTAATTGTGTAAAATGGTATCGCGACAATCCTTGTAATACCTTTTATTAACCCAGGAAAACCTCGCTGATTTGAGACTCTTTATTTGGAGATTCCTCCTTAATTGACATGTTTGGGAAGTTCCATTTAATATCTGGATTGTGAGTTATCGGAGTACTTGAAAAAAACCCATACATGAGCGAATAAGAATAAAAACACTTCACTCGGAGGCATTTATGAAATATTTTCAGCCCATGCCGACAATACATTGTACATCCAGGCAGTCACCCTTCAAGTGCTAACTGGGCCGAACCTTGTTTAGTTTCCAAGGTCTGACAAAATTTGGTTAATTAATTGATATTTGAAAACGTGCATTCAAATGTATTTCAAATGCGTGCCTTTTTTTCAAGCCCATACAAGAGACAAACAATACAGGAATAAATATATTTATTGCCTCTCGGCCCATATGGCAGTACATAATTGGATGCTTGACCCCTATGGAAGTCCTGAGGGAGTCTTACTGGGGTGGAAACTGTGAAATCCGCGAGGCTGTGGAGTGGACCAGTTGACGGACAGTAAAGCAATTGGGTTCGTAAATCCACGTTTGTGTGACCCTTTTCGTGTTAATCCTCAACTTATTTTTTTGTTTCTCAGCATAACACTCCTTATGAAAATCGAATTGGCCAAACATGACCACGCAGAACCCTCCAAAGAAACCCTTGACTCCTCGAGGCTTTCCCGGATGCTCCTGTAGCGTAATTGTTAACGCAACATGGACTTGAAATCCAGAGCTCACTGGTTCATTCTCCTGGCACAGCAGTTGAAATAGTGAGAAGGTTTCTTAAATCCCACTCGGCTTCTACCAGGCAATATCAATAGCTACATCACAGTCGATCAGCAGGTCATGTGTGGTGGGGTAAAGTGTGGGTATGCCTACCTCTTCCAAGTAGTCTGGCCCACCATAGAAGAGTACAACAAATACTGTCTAGAGGAGGCCCTTCTGCCAGCAGTGGCTTCAGCAAGTAATTGCAGGGCTAGATCTTCACCTTTGCATGAATCCTCGCACACATTGGAACAATATTACATTTACATGATGTTGAGGAATTACTGCATCTTAATGGATGTTGAATAAATGTTAGCATTCACGATTTGAATATTACGAGTGAATTTGCTTTTAATGTTTACAAATATCTACATTTAACAAAGCTGGTTTGAGCAAATCATTTCAAGGCTGCACCATTACAATGTAATGTTTGTAAACAATGTTCATGGCAGTGGTGACAATAATATTAGTTTCCCTGTGACATTTCGGGAAACGGCATTTCTTCCTGCCATGAAGAAAGTACCTTGCCAGAAACGTCGGCTATAATTTTTTATTTATTAGGACAGGGTTTATTTATGACCGTGAGTTTTTGTTTATTATTAGTTATAACGAAAGATGTGTGCATAAATACGTGCTCTTGATCACTTCTGCGCATAAAAAATCACTTACTCGTTGGTTCTTTGGGTAAAGTCACGTAGGTAGAAAAAATAATAATAGATCATGAAGTTTCGATCTTAACACAAGCGGTCGTCGCAAGCCTGTGCACGTCACCGCTCACCCCCTTCTCCTTCACCGTGCACCCCCAGCCCTCGGGCATTCCCACAACGACGCCCGTGCCAGAGCGGAGGATGAATGAGCACTGGAGCGGCGATGGAGCGGCGTGCCGAGTGGGGGCTGCCCTCTCGTGACGCGGCCGCAGAGGCCGTGGGTGGCAGCAGTGGCTTCCACCTCCCCGAGGGCCATGCGAGGTCCGACCCCGGCGCCTGGTACCTGCAATTGTCCGGCTGCCTGTCACTCGCGCAGCCGCTCGTGGCCCCGACTCGCCCACTGTTCTTCCCAACGCAGAGCTACGTGCCCGTGGCGCAAACGCCGGTGAGCGGCTAGCCTGCGCTGGGTGCTCTCTTGTCCGGTGTTTTCTTCCGCTGCTATATGCGTGGTGGGTTTTCTCCAGGCACACAAGTTACATTACACATGCAGACAAAAAAAGATTAAAGAGGAATTGGCCAAACGTCTCAGAAGGATCTTCTTGGTTCTTTCGGTAATGTCACGTAGAAGGGAAATAATAAAATAATACAATTTTAACATACTAAAATACAATTCTCACCACGTTTCGGCCACAATGCAAGCAGCCGTCCTCAGGTGACGAACAGGTCTGTCGGGGAGACAGCGTCTGGCACGAGGTGGAGGTGTTCTTCACCTGAGGACGGCTGCTTGCGTTGTGGCCGAAACCTCGTGAGAATTGTACTTTATTATGTTTTATTTGTATTATTTTATTATTTCCCTTCTTCGTGACTTTATCGAAAGAACCAAGAAGATGAATCCCTGCAGTCACGAAAGCTTAAATCGAAAAGTCTCGGAAGGATCCTCAATAATGAGTTGATATTCGCTAAGGCCTTTGCTGGTAAGCAATTAATTTAATTTATTTTTGCGTCACATTCACATCTTAATGAAAAGGTTAAGGATATCACATCCCCCTACTGATTATCTACATTGTTGATGATGGAGACGGCGGCACGTTTTCCTACAAAAATTGGACAAAACCGGAGATTCTCTGTCATGTCGATTTGGGCCTGCGAGTATGGCCAGTTGTTGGTTTGTCGTACGCTGAAGCCACTGGCCTTTCATCTCCGTGTGCCGTCCCAATGCAGCACTACTGCATGGCCAAGCAGGAGCCTGTGGCAATGTTCAACATGGCCGACGCCAACCTCAAGCGTGTGTCCGCCTCGCTGCTGAACCCCATGACGATGCTGGCGCCACGCCCCCCGCAAGAGGGCCCTTGCCCAACCACCAGCGACGCCTCCGCCACCTCGACCTCGTGCCAAGTAAGCGGCTACGCCTGCGTGCCGTGCCCTACGGCGCTGCGTGGCGTGACGCCGCCATTTCACCGCGGTGGCCTTGACGCCGACGCCTGCCGCCCCCGGGACCCTTTCTGGGGGGACCAGGCGCCAGCAGTGCCTGCGGATCACGGCTCCGGCCTGCTGACACCCGGCCAGTTTTGCTGCGGCTCGCCCGGCCTCCGTGCTCGGCAGCAGTCCGCGCCGTCCTATCTGGCGTCGATGGCAGCGCTGGCCTGCCCGGGCTGCGGGTCGCTAGCAACGGCCGGTGCCCCCGCGCTGCGCTGCGCCGCCGAGGCGCTCTCTTCCTTGCCGTTCCCTGGCCACTGCACGAAGCACGACGAGCACCATCGGCAGCACGTTCTCCTTCCTCCTGGTGGTGGTGGTGGTGGTACCGCGTCGGCTCACCTGCACTGCCCCTCACTCCCGATCCCGGTTGCACACGTGCATGGGCACCACTGTCAAGGCTGCCACTGCAAGGTGCGTCCACTGTGTGTTCCTTGGGGGTTGGTTTAATGGGGTTGATTTCCTTCTCCAATTTCCTCTTCTTGTGTCCCGTGGTGAAGCCACGTCGCCGTTGGCCGTGAAAGTAGGCGCGGAGTGCAGTGGCCGAATCGATTATATTTAATTTCCTTTAAGTGGATGAGAGCCCACGGAGATGGAGACATATGGTGACCATGGTCACATCAAAGAGAGATTGTTCAAAAATGTAACATTAATAATGACACTTGCCACGTACAATGCCCTATTTTTGCAGATGCTTTAGGCATGGGCTCCGTTTATGCTTATTTTAACCTTCACTCTGACAATTCTCTGCAGAAGGTTTAAATCAAGTTCCGCTTTCAGTTTACGAATTACATTGTGTTTATTTTAAGTGAATAAATTGGTGACATGTGAATAACTCATTCTTAATTTGACCGAAAGAGAAATGTAATAACGTCCGTAAATACTTTAAACCAGGGGTGTACAACTACGGTCCTTGGTCGACATGCCAGCAATTAAGCCATTTGAGTCGTGCATTCTTCGCTTCAAGCGAGTTCGAATTTATTCAGCTCACACCAAGGTGTGTTCACAAACAACTGGAGGACCCACATCATGTGCCCACCACATTGCATGGTCAGTCCTCACAGCCTTGTCGAATTTGTTTCCAACCTGCATGCATCTTCCTCCTTGTAATGGCTTTTCTCATTTACAGAAAGTATCGTACAGTGGTATCTCGGTATACGTCGTTAATTCGTTCCAGAAGGTAGGACTTGTACCGAACATGACGTAGATACCAAACACATTTTTCCCATAAGAAATAAAGGGAAAGGAAATAATCCGTTCCAGAGTATAATAAATTATATTTTATATGGCATGTTATACATTAATGGGGTTGTATACAATATTTTAGACACTACGTATTACTAAAATGCATACATAAAACAAATGCATAAATAAAAATAAATAAGTAAATAAAAATTTGCATCACTTTACCTTGCTGAGAGGAGTTGAATGAATTCGCAAAAAATTCACGTTAAAATTACAAAAAACACGTGAAAATTCACAGAGTTAAAGCCAAGGGTTGTGCACTGAACGAGATCTACTGTACAGGCAGACTGAGGAGCGGCGCTTTGTTTCAGTCGTAAACGGGGTATACGCGGGTACGTGGTGACTCACCCCGACCCATACAAGTTCTAGCAAGCGCGTCGTATCCCAAGCAAGACGTCGTATCCCAAGACATTTTTTCCTCGTCAAAACACAACATATACCAAATTCGACATATTCCAAAGCGGTCGTATACCGAGACATGACTGTATTTGACTTATTGCACACCTCGCAGCACCTTCAGCTCCGTCTCCGTTATAATTCCTAGTCACCACCACCCATCTCTGCGCCTGCCCCTCACCCCCACCCAGGGTGACGCGAGCGAGACGACCGTATCCCAGCCCAAGCGGGGGTCCGCGCCGGGGACCACCGATCCCTGTGGGCCCCTCCACGGCGCCAACGTGTGGCCCGACATCCCTCCCCCGTCGCTGGTCAACGGGGCCTCCGCTCCGACGTGCACCCGAGGTAAACTATTGTTTTAGACTGGAAACCATTTTAAATTTTACCAGGTAAGGCCCACTGCGCTATACAGCTTATTTTCAGAAGCAACCTGGCCACAAATGATATCTCAGCAAAGTGGCTTATCACGTGGAAATGTATTGCAGCCAAAAAAAAAATCCACTCAACCGCGAGGAGAACCCACGACCTCCTCTATGCCAGGCGTGTTAGTTAACATCTCGCCACCATAACTTGACCTCGCATACCGTTCGTTCGCCGTTCACAGAAGCGGCGTCCGAGCTCGCTCCGCTGGGCGGGATGAGCGGCACAGGCGACAGGGATGGCCTCCCGCCGATCGGCGTCTTCTGGGACATCGAGAACTGCTCTGTGCCCACGGGCCGTTCGGCCATGTCGGTGGCGCAGCGCGTGCGGCAGCGCCTGTTCGGTGGGCACCGCGAGGCCGAGTTCCTGTGCGTGTGCGACATCAGCAAGGAGAAGCGCGAGGTCATCCAGGAGCTGAACAACGCACAGGTGTGTTACGGACGCACCGTTTCGACGAGTACCGTTTCTGGGTTGCCACCGACACCATCGTTTTTCTCATGGAACGGGGAGAGACGATAGTTGACACCGTTTCGCTGTGAGCCACCGCCGAGCCTGTGAAAATCGACGTACGTCGCCTGGTGGCGTCCGCTCACCGGGAGACTCAATGTGCATGTGGGTGCGTGCCTGGTGGGGAGTGGCCCTCTCCTCGGTCGATTCCTGCCTTAAATTGAGTACCTGGTGGGGCATGCACACATCACCAGTGGGGGATATTAGTAGCCACACCACCCCCTCGTCTGCCACGCTGGCCTTCACGAGTGCCGGCTAACAGCGCTTTGCCCCAGCAGTCTGTTAAGGCTTCTGGTGGGGATGGTGTCTTTGTCGCCATGCGTGTGCGGCGCAGGTGACGGTCGTGCACATCAACGCGACGGCGAAGAACGCGGCGGACGACAAGCTTAAGCAGAGCATGCGTCGCTTCGCCGAGACTCACTCTGCTCCCGCCACCATCGTGCTCATCTCCAGTGAGGACCCCCCCGCAAAAACTTGACAGGACCCTCCTGAAAATGAGGCTTGAGATTCAGTGATGCATCCCTGGCGAAACGAGCATAATAATGAAATGGCATTTTTTTCACCTGGCACATCCGAGCCAAGCGAGCCCTCGCTGCTCACGGCTAGAGTGCTTTTATACTGGCTGTGCCAAGCTTAGAGCCCAGGGCTGGTTCAGATGCCCCGGTTGAGTATTTAACTCGGGGCATGCAGTTTATAGCGTACACTGCGAACTGTGCCACCATTCTACCCTGGCATAGACTCCACTGCTAATCGTAATTAGGTAGGAAGATAGCAGGGTGATGAGTTACGCAGTTTAGTAGTGGTGGGGGGTGGATTGAAGTCGTGAGATCATTGAAGTTCTTTGAATGGCAGGGACAGCAAGCAAACCCGATTTGCACGACGAGATGAATACTTTGACCAAAGTAACACAAACTTGTGAAACTTGATGCACGATGGCCAGATCGTGGTGGGTGGTTATGGTATTGGCTTTGAATGGTTCGCTAGTGCCCCCCCACCCCTTCCCGTCCTCCCACACAGGCGACGTGAACTTCGCCCTGGAAATGAGCGACCTGCGCCACCGGCACGGCTTCACCGTGGTGCTGGTGCACAAGACTCAGGCTTCGAGCGCACTGATGCACCACGCCAACACGTCCATCCGCTATGAGGAGCTCGTCGATGACCTGCCGCCCTGCCCCTCGCCCCAGGTGCCCGGAGTGACCAATGCAGGGGGGCGGAACGTATAGCCTGGCAGCTCTTGGCGGGTGGTGGCACTCATAGAGGTGGGGGGGCGGGGGGCGGTTGTGTTGGGGGGAACTGGGTCATGACTAACAAGGGAGGGGGTGGCACTCAAAAGGTAGGGCAGCGTTTACGGAGGGGCAACTCTCACGGAGGGTGGCACTCAATGGGGAACGGCGCTGACATTGAAAGCCTGGGTGTTCGAGCACTCAAAGGAAGGGTAAGCATTGTGGGGGAAACCGTGAATAGGGTGGCAGCACTTAAAATGGAGCAGCACTGACAGAGGGGGCAGCACTTCCAGCTTGTTGGCACTTAGCGGGAGGCGAGGCACTCCGCAAGGGGGCAGCAATCCTCGTGGCCCGCATTCCAAGTGAGATGGCAGTCAAAGGCTGGAGCAGCACTTGCTGAGAGCGGGCAGCTCTTGATCCCAAGCAGGTAACGGGGCAGCACTCTTGGGGCGCACGTGTGAAATGCAAACCCAAGGTGCACACGGATAACGCGAATCGCTATTTTCCCCCCCTCTACCCATTGGTCACGTTCCTTCGCGCCGCGCAGCCCTGCCACACGCTGCTCTACATCAACAACCTGCCGAGTGGCCGTGACACCCGGCAGGTGGGCGCGCGCCTGCGCCAGCTCTCCGAGAACTGCGGCGGCAAGGTGCTGAGCGTGGCCGCGGGCACCGCGTGCCTCCGCTTCCCGTCGCCGGCGCGCGCCCGCCGTGCCCAGCGCCGCCTCGACAACGAGGACGTCTACGGCAGCCGCATCTCCGCATCCTTCCTGCCGCAGGAAGACGGCGGCGGCGGCGGTGGTCAAGCGGTGGAGGCGGCGGCGCTCGGCAGAGAGAGGCTGGAGGGTAACGAAAAGCCACGGTCGCCGGGTCCCCCCGCGCACCGGCGTGGAGGGGGCAGGCGGCACGACGCGGACGACCTCAACGGCGGTGGCGGCAGCGGTAATCACGGTAGCCACGGCGCCTGTGAGCGTGACGGCAGGTCTGCCGAAAAACAGTTGCGGTCGCCCGTTGCTGTTGGTGGCGGTGGTGGCGGTGGCGGCGGCGGTGGTGGAGGCAGGCGCGGTCAACGACGGATTGATGCGGAAGATGCTGGAAGGAACGGCGCCGCCGTCGGGCATTCGTCAGCGTTGCCACTGCCGTTGTCGTCGTCTTCTTCGCCACCACTATCGACAAGTAGAGCCAAAGACCAGCAGCCAAGGGACAGGGCAGGAACCGGCACGGGGGCCGTGGCGGCCGCTCCGTCCGGTCAGGAGAAGCAGCTGTCGAGCGGCGGGGCGCGGGCTAGCGGACGAGCGGCGCACAGGCATGGTGGGGCGGGGAAGAACCCGGAGGCTAGGTGATGGAGCAGCCAAGTGCTCGCCCCACGAGCACTTGGCAGCGGGAAACCCAAAGGTCTGTGTGAGCCTCACCTGTTTCTCGCGAGAGGCTTTTGGTCCCACGGGGCTATTTTCTCAGCGTTCGTTGTCACAATAATGCGCGTGTGTTTGTAATAATCATCGAATGATAAATCTTGAACCCCCCCCCCGCCTTCCCACCAGCGAGTCAATGCATTTTCACATTTTGGGGTGGCAATTCGATTGAAGAGTCCATTGCTTCTGTCTAAAACGTCTGTACAATTTTCATGAATGGTGAATAATCAATTCTGGTTTGCATGGTTCTGATATGACGCACTTCATAAGAACCAATTTTTATTTATTTATCGGTGCATCCTCGTCCTTTGTTATCGTTTTGTGCGGATTGCTGTTGACTTTAGTGACACATGGGCCTCGTTAGTTTTGCCTGCGACAATGCTCAGGGGGAGTGACGTCCATGCTGCTCGCGTTGCGATTGTCCGTGGTACAGGAAACCACCTCGAGTGGACGGCAGCAGCTGCAGCAGCAGCAGCCAAGTGCTAAGAGGCACCGGCGTGGAGGAACGGGGGGCGCTGGCAGGGGCAGCTCACCTGGGCCCCCTGCTACTCCCCTCCTTGCGCAGGCGAACGCCCCCCAGAGAGGCGGGCGCGACACGGAGACTACGAGGTGCGGCCGGGAGTGGCCAGTGTCGCTACGACCACACGCGCGCACACAAATATCGCCTTAACAGACTGTAGGGGCAAATGCTGTTAGCGCGCACCTATGAAGGCTGGAACGGTACACGAGGGGGTGGGTGGCCAGCACCAGTGGCGATGTTTACACACCGTACCACGTACTCATTTGAGGCTGAGTCGACCTAGGGGAGGCCCAGGACCAGTTTAGATAAACGTCACTGATGTAGGCCATGAGCGGGAATCGAACCCGGGTCGCCGTGTTCGTAGCGCAACGCGCTAACCGCAACACTACCGCTCCACACGCACACACAGCCACGGTACCTTTCTGATCTCGTCAAGGAGCATAAGCCGTCACGCGAACTCCGGTCATCCTCACAGCAGCGGCTTTTGGCTAGCCATCGAACAAAGACGGTTACCGCATCGCATGCTTTCAAATTCGCCTTTGCGGCCATCTGGAACACTCTTCATTCGGATATTATGAAGCCACTGGAGCTATACACTTTTAAATTTAGGTTGATAATGCATTTCTTTAGAGCTGCTTTTTAGTGTTTAGTTTTTTATTCTTCCCCCGCACCTCCGATTTTCACAGTTGACCACGTACGGTGCGAAATAAGTTCAACATACACACACACGCATGGATTATGCGTATCGCTAGAGAGACTATTGGGGCGAGTGCTGTTATTATAGAGAAGTCCTATTAAGGCTGGCATAGAACGCGAATGTGTGGTTCGTACCGCACTGGTGTTTACACACCGTACCAGATTTATTGATTCCTTTTTGCTTTGATACCAGAAGTTTATTTTCCGAGGCAACATTGGGTCAAAATAAATGCATTGGATAGCTAAAACGTGGGTGCAACAGTTTAGAATGTTAAAGGAAACATTACAGGAATATTTTCTAACAATTATTATAATTTATAGCCCTTAATCTACTAGGAGATGAAGACCTCTTCTTGCCTTAGTCATTGGGTTCGTTTAATAATACTTCACCATTCTGGGCAGTGCAAGTTGGTGGGGGAGCGGGACCGGTTGAGCTGTAGCCTGGATTCAAACTCAGGTTACCAGTCTCACAGCGCAGTGAGCTGACAACTCCGCCACCGCTCCACCTGAATAAAAAACATGCCCAATGTATATTATAAAATGTGATTTAGTTCTTCTTGAGAGGGGCTGTCTTGAGGCCCCCTCCAATGGATGCCCTTCCACCAGCAGTGACATGAGCAAGCAATTGCAGGGCTGCACCTAACGTAACATCTGAAAGGCATTACTATTCGTACTCTCCTAGGAGCGAATCCAATGGCACGTTGAAAGCTAGTTTGCACTGAGCTGGTGTATAAGTGTAATGTAGCTGTGTTAGTTCCAGCCAAAGCCCATCTCGTACTCTCCCAGCTGTGTTCGGTTGCTTACAGACGACGGTGCCCGCACGGCTGAAGCCTGCATGCTCTCTCGTCCCTTAGGGCCGACTCGTGCCCGCCGCTGGTGCAGGATGGAGACGGCTCCGTTGCCGCCGGGAAGCCGGTGCTAGTGGACGGCCCCCCTTCGGGGAACCCCGCGGCGTTCTTCCGGCCGCTGGCGCCAACCCCGCCACCGCCGGGCGCCATTCCGCTTCTCCACGCCTCCCACCAGCCCCCATTTCCCATCGTCGCCCCCTGCCCCATTACCTGGGTGCCTAGGTGAGCGATTTTCTCCCTCCACCTCAAGCTCGTTGGACGTTTTCTCTCTCCATCGCTGTATCTTCCAACTGCGATAGTGTCCCATCGCATTCAGTGTTCCCACCTCCCTGTCTCCCAGTTCTGCCCTTGTCCCAGAGGTCGCAAATGGGTTTTGATTCCTTACCCGTACCCGGCCGCACCAGGGTCGCAAATGGGTAGCCGTTCCCTACCCGTATCCTATCCGAAATGAGTGACAAACGGCTACTCACCAGTGACTCACGGCCTACCCGTACCCGTACCCGGCGCACCAGGGTCGCAAACGGCTACCTGTACCCGTACCCGGGTATCGGGTAGGGTACGGGTATCGGGTACCCGGTTGCGACCTCTGCCTTGTCCTCCCCTTTTCTTCCGGTCCTCTCCATCCACCTGTCCTGCAGGGGTCTCATTCAGCCCCTCTTCCCCCACACCCGCTCACAATCCTCCAACTGCCCTGTCCCTCCAGCTCCCCTGTCTGGCAGTTCCCCCCTGCCTTGCAGATCTAAAACAATGTAATCTCATTTTAACACTGTTTAACACGTAGGCTTTCACGACCAATATCATCCATAATAGAGTTGTTTTTGGTTAGATCGCGTAAATATATAAATGTGTCGTTAAAACCCGCCACCACCCGACACAGCCAACTAGTAAGGGTTGTGACGTATACAGAACGTGCCATTCCTCACGAGTACAGCACACCGGTGTGCTGGAGAGCTAAGCCACAATATTTACAATCTGAGTACGACGTTTCGCCAGTAATGACAACTATCTTCATCAGGCGACAGCCCGATTTGTGAAGTCTACTTGTGACGAATTGGCATGTTCTGTTTACGTGACAACCCTTACTATTTGGCTGTGTTGGGTGGTGGCGGTGCATTATATTAACCCGATCCAATCCGAGAAACCTTTTTATAGTGGAATCTCACATTCACGTGTCCACGCGTGAGAATCTTTGAGATTCATCGTTTACTCGCCTTATCGCTAGTCGGAGCCGTTTTCTCACCGCGGTAGTGCCCGTCTTCTGTGTGTCCCCCCCCCCCCCCCCCCCGCAGTTCCCGGCTAGCGACTCCGTTGAACCAGCTGGTGTTCCCCGGCGGCCTGGTGTCCCGCACCACCGCGGTGGCTGGCCCCCCCCCACCGCATGGCTACGTCCCCTCGCCGTTCGGCTACGGCTATCCAGGGAGCGGCGCGAGCCCCACCGACGTACTCGTCACCAACCTGGACGGCAAGGCGCAGTGGAGCGACACCATGCAGGAGCTGAGCGACGCCTTCGCCAAGTTTGGGCAGGTCAGGGCCCGCGAACCGAGATGGTCGGTCGGTCGGTACCATCCTGGGTGGCACATGCTATGTATCCGTATGCACATTTTAGCAGTGTCTGTCATGGGCAGAGGGCTGAGCGTACGTATACTATCTTTGCACACGCATGCCTATATTTATTTTATGTCACCTTGTGTGGTACGGTATGAACCACTTTTGGGCCCGATGATTCAAGAACCGGCTGGGGCGGGACTCCCCAGAGCTCGGTGCGCCGGCAGGGCATGACCGCCATAGTGGGGCCATGCGGGGCCATGCGGGGTCACGGGATGGGGTGGTATCTAGGCATTAGGCCTGTAACGATTCATCACCATCACCGCCTTCACCATCATCAAAGCCACCGCCCGCCACCTTCACCGCCACTCATTGTGTAAACAAATCGGATCATGATTGTTGTTATCGTTTTTTCTTCGTGTTTGTAGCGCTTTTTTATTGTTCTGTCTCGTTTGTACAGTTTTGTTCACTCTGTTTAAATATAGCAACACCATATCGCCTGCCGAACGTTTGGGAAAATTGTAAATTGAAGAAGAAAAAAAATGCGCGTGCATTGTGAGTGTAAAAAAAAAAAAAATCGAAGAATGAGTGGATGTGTAGATAGATAGAGGGATTGATTGATGAATGGATGGGCATATCGAAATGGACAGACAAATTGATGAACATTACATATGGATGGGCGAATCCTCAAACTCCCTAGTCGCCACGCGCATAACCGCTTGCCATCCTAACCATCCAGCCAAACGGTCACAACACGCGGTGACGACTGTGCGGCCTCTTAAATACACGTCGCGCCGGTCTCGCCCCTTCAGGTCAAGGGCATCGAGCTGCGCGGCCACGCGGAGCAGCAGCAGTTGTGGGCGCTGGTGCGCATGGGCAGCAGCCCAGGAGGCGGCGCTGAGCGCCAGCGCCCTGCAGCACTGCCAGGTCACGGGCCGCCGCGTCCACGTGTCGCTGGCGAGCGACGGCATCGTCCACGAACCCCAGCGCACGTCGCCTCTGCAGACTCTCAGGTTGGGCGCCGCCCCGCGTCTCTCCGCGGTCGTTAGAAGTGGCTCCGAGGTCAGATGGGCTGAGTTGGCACGCCGCCGAGAATCTGGGTGAGAACCCAAACAGGCCACCTGGGATTGAATGGAAGTGCCCTCAAGTATAGTGAGTTCGTGGTCTGAGCTGGAATCACCAGTGGGTGGGGAAGTGTTGCTCCCTCTATTGTGTGGACCCAGGTCACTTGGAGGGATCTCAGAGGTAACTCTCTGATATCTGCCTTCCATGGACCGTTCTTAAAACACCAATGGTCGCACTGCTCTGTGAGAGATCATGACATGATACCTGCGGCACATTCGGGAGACATCTGGGGGATAGTCGGAAACACAATATAATTTTGATTGCGTTTCAATTATAAACATTTCCCTGGTGCAATCAAAGTCCAAGAAATTAGTCAAATTTGACATCGCTTTCTACAGTTGAACAATTTTCGAACATGGAAGGAATCTTTAAACAGCTTTGTCGTTGCTCTTCTCGCCTGGTGCTTTGATGGACGGGTCACTGGGCGAGCCCACCACTGACACTGTCCGTTGATAATAATAATAAGAATAGTATCAACTTGTAATGCACCGGCACACAGTGTTTGCTCGCTCGCCAAGAGAACGGACTCTCGAGCCGCAAGTAATCGCGGCCCTCTACGAATTAAGTTGTTATCGACCAATTCATGTGGCTTTAAATGTATCGGAGGAAATTGGTTCCCCTGGAGAAAACCCACGCGTGCGAGGGTGGGGGGGGGGGAACTTTCTGTCTCGTACAGACGGAACTGGCAAGCCAGGGTACGGGAATGGGCGTTTCGCAACATTTGCGCGATCCTCCAACCGTCGCCCCCACAGTGCTGGATTACGGGCTGCGTGCGCTTTGACAATGTGTAGACACGAGGCTGTTAACTGTTGCGACGTTTGGTTGTGTTGCGGGACCCGGGAGCAGGCTGGAAGCCGTGGGGATCCTTCACGAAGCGCCAGGGGCCACCCTGCCCCTCCACCTTTTTGCGGATGTTTACGAGAAACGGTAGGCGCTTCACACTCGCCCCCCCCCCCGTCACCGTCTTCTGCACGTAAATTTTAGTCTGCGTTTACACAGCTATCTTTGCCTTTGCCGTACTTGTGGTAAAACATCAGTGAGAAAGGTTTATTGAAAACTGTTATTGTTCCCCTCTATATTTCGATTGTGCAATCACCCCCCACACCCACCCTTGTTCTGGGATAAACATATTCCCGTCCGTACCCTCGCAGCTAGCAGCGCACCAGCCCTGTGACTGAACACCTCTGGGGGACGACGTCACAGCGGTGCACACGTTTAGCAATACTCGTGTGCCTCCTGATAATCCGTCGCTGAATATTGGCACGAGCGTACCGGGCATCGCTCGGTCACTTGTGTCATCCAATCGGCGTGATTACTCGCCCTCCCCCCACCACTGCCCCACTCCAGGTACGGGCGCAAGCTGGTGGTGTCGGACCTGCACAAGCTGACGGACTTGCTGTGCGTGCACGACCACGGCCCAGCGTGCCGCCTCGTGTCGCTGCTGCCGCTGCGGAACGGTCCCTACGTCGGGCCGCCCCCCGCCGCCACCATGGCCGCGGCGGCGGCCGCAGCAGCGGCGGCGGCCACCAGCAGGGAGAGAGAGCGGGAGAGGAACTTCTCTTCGTGCGGCAGCAGCCCGGTGGTGATCGAGGAGCTGGCGCATCACGACGCCTACTGCCCCGTCCACTCGCCGCACTCCGCCGCCACCGTCGACATCGAGTGAGAGCGCCGGCACACGAGCGTGTGGTTTTTTGTCGGCCACCGTTACATTTTCTGAATGGAAATACCTGAAGATTTTTTTTTTTACCTTAGTTTCGGTCGATGATGATGATGGTGTAATGACTTATGCAAGGGGAGACGCACTTTACCGAGGCTGTGACCAGACGCAGGTGACGAGGGGCTCTTGTGAGTTCGCAGGTCATTGGTCACAGTTCAGAGAAGCGTCGGTAAGATGAGACACGCGACGCGTATAATTCTTCACCGTCAAATGGAGGGCACAGGAGCTCTGTAGCACTCGACGCGTGTCACTGGGCTGATCTACGTGGTCATGTGGTGATCACGGCGGATTATGGATGCTCCGACGCAGTTCACGAATGTTCCTTAGGCTCAGACAAGTGTTCAATTAATGCCGAAAATATTTGGCGAAAAAGTTTTTCTTTTTTTAGTTTTGGCCATGGATCAAGAGTGTGACCGTGACTACAATCCCCACCAAAGATCCAAACTTGATGAACGGGGGACGTGAGCTCGCAGCACTTTCCCCGCCAAATTAGTTGGTGAAGCTGCCGCGTTGGCAATGGTGGCCTTCAAAGGAAGAGTCTATAATAGGCAACGTTACAGACATTGGCCCTTCTTGCTTGCAACAGTCTTGTCAAGGCTATACGGGGTGGATCTTGTTGTTTTTAGGGAGCATGACCTGGAGGTGGAGTACGCCCAGCTGCCCTTCGTGGTGATGTCGCTGAAGACCTTCGCGGCGCAAGTGCACGCGCTGCTTCACTCGCACGACGGCACCGTGCCGCTGCTCAGGTGATGTGTCATTACGCGCCCCAACCCCCTAGCAGCCTCCCAGCAGTGCCCCCCCCCCCCCCCCCCCCCCCCCGACACTGATTACTGAAGGCGCTCATCTTTGTGCTGAACTCCGCACGTGGTGTAAATGGTGTGTGGGGAGCGGTGAACTTGGCAAACCGAGTTGGATTCCCGTTCACGGTCAATGCCAGTGACGATTATCTGAACCTGTGCTGGCCCCCCCCTACCCCCCCGCTAGTTTGACACTCGGCCTTTAATGAGCACCTGGTGCTGGGTGTATACATTTTCACTGTGGAAACAAAGGTGGCCAGGCATGGTGCTAGCTGCACCACCCCTCCTGCCATTTAAGAACAGCACTTGACCAAACAACCTTTAAAAGCTATGTTTATATTACCTTCCCCGTTGTTCCTTAAAAGCCTGTGCTGGTGCTCACGCCACTCGTCCGTCCCCCCCCCAGCTTCCCTGACTGCTACGAGGCCGAGATGGGACCGCTGCCTCGCGACGCGCAGGCGGCGATGGTTCCCACCGCGGAGGGCGACACGGGCGCGGAGGAAAGCGGCGACGACGCCGTTGCGGAAGCGGCGGCGGTGGCCGCGACAGTTTTGGCCGCCGGCTGTGGCCGTGGAGTCCCGCTGGAGCACCTGGCGGCGTGCGTGCAGGGCGTCCACGTGGTGATGGCGCAGAACGGCGTCAAGGTCGTCAAGTGGGTGCAGAACAAGCCGCCCCTGCCAAGCAGTGGTACGCACGCACACACGCACACACACAAAGCCAAGTGCTATTTGCGAGCACCTTACGAAGGCCGGTGGTTAGCACCTAGCCCCAGTGGCGATGTTTACACACCCCACTAGGTACTTTTTAAAGGCTGAATCGACCTAGGGGAGTCCCAGGACCGGTTCATATGACTGTCACCGGCGGTGGCCGTGAGCGAGAATCGAACTCGGGTCTGGCTGGTTCGTAGCGCGGCACACTAACCGCTACCCTACTGCTTCCCACACATATGTTCGCACGCACGCGAGCGCACACCTGCGATTTTTTTTTTTTTACATTAGAACCCGGGGGAAGCGATAATTTTTGTAAATAACAGATAAAAAAATATCCCTCAAACTAGTGCTTTTATACGTTTGTGTGTCGTTGCCTGTCTGCGCACGGCACAGACACGTGGCTCGCGTCGCGCTGCAAGAGTCCCGTGGGGAACCCGCAGCTGATCGCGTTTGCGCGCGAGGTGGTGGAGCTGCTGCGCACGCAGCCGCGCTGCCTGCTGGCCTTCACACGCTTCATCCCCGCCTACCACCACCACTTCGGCAAGCAGTGCCGCGTGGCCGAGTACGGCTACGCCCGGCTCGGCGACCTGCTCGACGCCGTGCCGCACGTTCTGCAGGTGCGCTTGCGCGTTGCCCCGTTGTTCTCCGTTGTTCTCCCCGTGTGTATCGCAGTTTTGCGAGTGTGAGGCGGTTTTGCGGTAATAATTTTTGGTTATTTTCCAAAGAGTCCTGCCATATTTTTCGCAGTAATGGGCGATGATTGCTCTGCATAATCTCAATTCAGTAATTTGCGGGTAATTTTTCAGATTGTTTACCGCGCCGCTGGCGCACAATGGGCCGACACTTGCGATTGGCGTCACGGAATCTGTAACGTTTACTGTGAAGCATACGGCTGCATATTCCTACGGTTGAACGCACCGGCAGTAATTTAACGAGGCGGCCGATTGATTCTCTGCAATAAGCGACGAACGCGCCTTTGCTGGGCCACGTGACCTCTGCCCTGACGGCGTCTTTTACCCTGGTGTAGAAACCTTCGTATTTTGCGTTTGGGGTTTAAAACAAGTATAACCCGTAAAAACAAAGTTTTTCACTATAAATCCTTTATATGCGTGGCGGCTAGAGTCCTCTCGTCCTCTGGCTTGAGATGGCTGCCACCTATGGGTCAAATGCTTGTCTGCCAGTATTAAGCAATTGGTAAATAAATAATTAATTGTTTTCCCTAAACAGTGTAAAATTTTGGAAAAGTTTTTTCACGAAAATTAATTGTCTCGCACAACGAGTCTGTGTGCAAAATGTCAGCTCGATTGGATCACGGGAAGTGGGTTAAAAAACGACCGAAAGATTTGCACGGTCGTAAGCAAGCACGCAAGCACGCAAGCAAGCAAGCGAACTTAATATAAAGGATTTAAAAATATATATCGCTTCTGTCCCGTTCGGTTCGGTGCGACGGACAGATACTGGGGCTGGGCGGAAGGCGGCTGCTGACGCTGACGCACCGGGTCCAGGTGAAGCGTTTCACTCAGGACCTCTTGAAGCTGCTCAAGTCTCAGGCCAGCAAGCAAGTGTGCTTGCAGGACTTTGCACAAGCCTACCACTGGTAAGATCCACGTATTCTCGGCGTGTGTGATAGATCACTCCGATTCGGAGTCCTGGTTCAATTAAATAAAAAAAATTTTTTTTAAGAAATGCATTCATAATCAATTTATTTTGGGGTTGTATCGCGTAGGTGTAATGTACTTTTTTTTTGCCAACGTGACTTTGATTGGATTGGCTCTTGTCAGGTGGTGGAGGGTTTTAGCTCGAGTTGACATTATACCCACAAAATATAAACCAATTATGAACCGTAATATTGGTTGTGAAAGCCTACGTATGGGCCTGTGTGTGTGCGTGCGTGTGTGTGCGTGCGTGTGTGTGCGTGCGTGTGCGCGTGTGCGTCCCATTGCGCCGGCCCAGGTGCTTCTCGCGCGAGTGGGACGTGCGCGAGTACGGCGTGTGCGAGCTCTCAGACCTGCTGGCCGAGGTGCCCGATGCAGTGGTCGCGATGACTCCACAGGAGGGCGGCCCCGTGCTCTCCATCCCCATTAAAGGCAAGAGCTGCGCTGATTCCCCCCACCACTCACCCACTCAGCCACTCAGCCACTCACCCACTCAGCCACTCAGCCACTCACTCGCCCACCCACTCACTCACGACACTTTAGGTCACGAGACTTGTACCGTGTTGGCTTTCATAGGTGCTCCTCGCTAACAGCACTTTCCTTCCAACAGTTGGTTAAGGCTACAAGGGGTGGGGTGGGGGAATCTTCGTCTTGTTGTGCTGCGTCCGTACGTGCATCAACGCCAGTGTGGTTACGTGTTACAGCACGCGAACTTGCGCAATCCCGCACCTTGACGCGCATCCACACACGTCCCGCCCGTCTGCCGCGTGTGCAGTGCGCACGGAAGAGGAGCGGTCGCGCACACGCGTGTTCGCGCGCGAGGTCGTCAAACTGCTGCGCCAGATGCCGCGCGGGCGCATGGCGTTCTCGCGCTTCATCCCCGCCTACCACCACCACTACGGGCGCCAGTGCAAGCTGGCGCACTACGGCTTCACCAAGCTCACCGACCTCTTCGAAGCCATCCCCGAGGTGGTCACCGTAGGTGCCGCACCTCGGCCACGCGCAAAAACCCACCCACCCACGCGCGCGCGCACACGTTGCCGCGCGCCTTGACCGGGACTCGGACCTGCTCGGTGCTAACCACCGGCCCGTTTAATCGTCATGTCGATCGTCTGGCGATCGTGTGTGTTTGTGTGTTTATTTTTTGAGTGGTTGGTGCACCAAGTCACCACGGCGCTTGTGCGGGGCATCACTGCCACTTAGTGGTGCATGGCGTTCGCTGTTGTTATTGAGGAGCAGTTGTGTAGTGGTTAATGTACTTCACTACGATAAAGGATGTGGCCTTAATTCGATTCCCGGCCATGGCAAACATTAATTGTTATGATCTCTAATTCTACTGGTGTGTAAACATCGGGATTGGGGAGACAAAGACAAGCCACATCACCCTCACACCCTCGTGCGCCCTGCTGGCCTTCATATGTGCCTGTCAGCAAGTTCAAGTTCATTTATTTGGTATAGCCCTGTGAGCCATTCGGCTCTTGAATCGGGTGCAACCACAACAAACAAAAAACATGAACAAAAAACATCTTAAAGTGAATATGTGACTGAGTGCAAACAGAAAATCCAATTAAATACAGCTAAATATTGCATAAAAAACACCGTACACCAACGCTGTGTGCAAAAATCCCAGTGGGATGCAAGTCAAACAACCAACAACAACCACAAGACAACTTAGATTAAGGCCATCAGTCTAACTCTGTACTACAACAAACAAACATGGCCAAACCAATACACCCACCTTCAGGCTTTGTGTGGGATCCTTGTGTCTTGTGCTTGTGTGCATGCATGTGTGTGTGGACGCGCGCGTTCGTTTGCTCCTTTTCGCACACGTGCGCGTCTTGCGCCTCCCCGCGCCGTCCCCCGCCAGATGCTGGAGCGCGGAGAGGACAAGCTGCTGGTGCTCACCGAGGCGGAGCAGCTGAAGGCGCTGGCCTGCCAGATCTCTCAGCTGCTGCGAGTGCACAAGGATCAGCCCCACGGTGACACTGTGGAGCCCGCCGGCGCTGCCGGTGCCTCCGCCTCCTCATCCTTCGTGGCGGGGGGGTTGGCGCCGTCAGAGCTGCCGGCCGAGTACGCGCGCGCCGTGGGGCATCCGCTGTACCTGCAGGACTACGACGTGAGCTCCGTCACGGAGCTCCTGTCCAAGATCCCGCACGTCGTCAAGGTGCCACCATCGACTGAGAGCACAGTTTCCTTCCCCCTTTCCCCTTGAGGGGACAGTTTTCCCTCCCCTTGAGTCGACATAAGGGAATGCCCAGGACCAGCCGTGAGCGAGAATCGAACTTGTAGTCGCCGTGCACGAACCACAACATTACCACTCCCTGTGCGCAAACACGGTGCTGTTGGCGAGTAGCACCTATAAAGGTCCGGCACGGCACACGAGGGGGAGGGTGCCCAGCACCATGTTTACACAACGCACTAGATACTCATTTGAGGCTGGGTCGACCTAGGGGAGGCCCAGGACCGGTTCATATAATCGTCACTAGTGTTGGCCATGAGCGGGAATCAATCCCGGTTCGCAGCTTAGCGTACTCACTGCGACACTTCCAGACACGTACACACACGTACACACACGTACACACACGTACATACACGTACACACACGTACACACACGTACACACACGTACACACACGTACACACACTTGCACGCAATTGCTGCCAATACTGTCCGTTGTGCGCCAGCACATGCCAACGTACACCAATACGTGGCAGAATGAGCCAACGTGCGCAAACGTTCACAAATATGTGCCAGTGTGCCACACCGCGTGCAAGCACACACCAACACGACCCCAGGATCCACTAGTAAGTACTGGCAGAGCAACGCGGGCTCATGCGCCAACAAACACACATTAGGACGTGTCGACACGCCAACTTGTACGCGCACAGACACCCGATACATGCCAACACACCAACCAATGTGTGCTCGCAATGTTCGCACGGACAATGACGCATCATTTCCCTGTTCACCGTGGTAAAATAAAACTGTTTTATAAAATTTTATCAGCTAAGATCCACTGAGCTCTATATAGCCTTTATCCAGAAGTGACCTGGGCACAAATGATAGCCCGACAAAGTGGCTTATCATGTGGAAATGTATAGCAGTCAAATACTCTTAAACGCATGCTTCTAAATCCACGCGACCACGGGTAGAACATGCAGACTCCAGATATACAGGCATCAGGGTCGGGATCGAACCCACGTCTTCCTCCCGTATACCAGCCCAGGAAGTTAACATCTCGTTATCGTAAACCGGAAACCACCGCGTGTATAAGCGCTTGTGAGCAGCGTGTGCAGGGGGTGCTCCCAAGCGCTGCCCTGCAAAACCTTGGAGTGGCCAGCTGACCCCCCGGGCGCCTCACCCCCCCTCTGCCCAGGTCGTGGACACCCCCGCGGGTCGGCGCATTCAGCTGCTCTGCCACAAATCGCAGAAGGTGGCCACCACCCAGCTTCTGCTGCTGCTCATGTCCCAGCGCCCGGGGGCCTTGGTGAAGCTGGCCCTGCTCGAGCAGCTCTACCACGCGGTGTTCGGGGTGCCTCTGGCGCCGCAGGACTTTGGTTTCCTGTGCCTGGCCGACATGCTGCGCGCCATGCACAACATGTTTGAGGTGGGTGGGCGGACGGATGGACGTGTGAGCTAGGTTGGGCGTGCGTGTGTGTGCGTGTCAGTGACGGGGTCTAGGATGGGTAGGCGAGACGGGCGAGTGGGTTGCGGTGACGGGATGCGCAGGGCAGACGGGCGGGTAGGGTAAGCGGACGTGTGTGGGCTGGTGATGGGGTGGGTGGATGAATGAGCGAGCGGGCTGGTAAGAGTGCAAGAAACTTGGCAAATAAGTGGCCGAGTGGAAACAGTAAGCAGGCAAATGGAAGGGCTCGCCAGATGTTGGGAAACGGTCGTGGTGGGCAGGCGGATGGGTGAGTGTGGTTTTGTGGGTGAATTTGCAAGTCGGCCAGGCAGGCAGGCAAGCGGGGATACACGTATTTACAAAGTGAACGATCTTTGGCGGGCACATCTTGAATATATCGGTGAAGCTTTTGCGAATTTACGGACTCTGTTATGACTATCGTAACGAGCGCAAAAGCTGCCATTGCGACGTCCCCTGCGGGGCCACCGACTCCATCCGCGCCCACGTGTGGTAACCACGTGTTGTAACCACTTGTCGTTCCCGTGCGGGCAGCTGGAGACGGAGAGCGGCACCGTTGTGGGCGTGCGCCTCACGCCGCTCCTGCAGTTCGCGGCGTGCGTGCGCGCCCTCCTGCTCACCTACCACTACCACCAGATCTCGCTCGCCGACTTCCCGAGCGCCTACGCGCAGTTCACGGGTGACAGCGCGGTCTCTGTGGCCTCCACTCTCGGCTTCGGCTCCCTGGAGGAGGCCCTGCTCGCCTTCCCACAGGTGCTGCCAGTCGATCGCGCTTGAGCCCACGAGTGGAGCACCGGGTGCTAACGCCGGCTTCCCCTCCTCCCCCTCCCTCCCGCCCCTTGTGGGTCACGTTCTCGTGTAATCCGTTCATAGATACCGAGTCAAATGAAAACACGCAGTGATTTCTTGCTCAAAGAGCAGTGAGGCAGTGATCGTCTCCGGTTTACAGCTCTGAGACACTGGTGGAGATACATTCCTGTGGGGTCTAATTCGTAGGACAACCACCGTTGACTCCCCCCCCCCCCTTCCCTCACCCCACCAAGTGGTATGTATTTTATCGGCCCCGGAGGGATGATGGACAGTCAACGCCATTAACCAGGATTAGAACTCGCAAGCTTCCGATTTCCAAGCTGCTCGCTCGCTTTCTCCGAGTCACCTGGCCGGGAAACTAAAGAAATGGTCGGACATGTTCGGGAAGAAATAATATTTAGGGTCTTGATGTTCAGTGATAACTGATAGTTGGTGATGTGCTAATAACTAGTTGAGTTTAGCACTTAATGTTATTGTTTTTACTCGTGCTGTGCTGCACATGATTTGTTTTGCAACCCCAGGTAGCAAAACAAAAGGCACTTTTGTCAAGGCATAGTGAATTGTTACAATTCAGGCGCACGGTTCCATTTGAGAGTCGTTTTTAATTTGTTCTGTCTCCTTGGTATTGTTTGTTCCTCATGTTGTCCGTGTCGTTTATATTATAATCTGTCCGGTTCGTGTTTGTCTCAGTTATGCTGTCTGTCTCATTGGTATTGTCCGTGTCGTTTGCGCCGGTTTGTCTCGCTTGTCTCATTTGTTCATTCCCATTCATTTTATTCGCCGACATTTAATCGCCAGATTTTGTAAGTAATCGATTCTGACGGGCACAATTGGATCCACGTATTGTGAGTGAAGATCCATTTTGATCCATTTATGCCCGCTTTGTATATGTGACAGCTTTGGCTTGACAGTGCTGCGCAAGTGGTATTATAGCTGCTATATGAACCTGGCAACCCGTGTTCAATTCCCGCTCATGGCCAACACCAGTAACGATTATTTGAACTGGTCCTTTGGCTCTTGAAGGTCGACTCAGCCTCAAATGAGTACCTGATACAGTGTGTAAACATCGCCACGAGGGAGACAAATGCGGCCGGGCATCGTGCTGGCCACCCACCCTCTCGTGTGTCCTGCCAGCATTCATAGGTGCTGCTCGCTAACAGCACTTGTCCCAACAATCTGTTACAGGCTTTACGGGGGGATATGTCTTTATACTTGTGCCCCCCCCCCATCCCAGCAGGTGGTCTGGGTAAAGAAACACAACAAGATGCTGGTGCTGAGGCATGATATGAGTGGTGAGTGCCGTGAGGACAGACTCGGCAAGGCAGAGGCGGTGTCTTACAGCCCACATTTTGTTGACATTTGTGATGCATACAGTAGTAGGTTCTTGTGAAGCGGTGCGTGCTGCAGCAACAAAGCTCTAAGGAGGAGCATCTCTGGACGTGTGTTTGCAGTGCGCCTGTCCTGCTCCTCACCAGCCACCCTTCCCAGCGAGGAGGGGGAAATGCGCTCCGAGCCTTCCACACCTCCGCCGTCCGCCACCTCCGCTGGGCTCTCCATGGACGCCCGCGCCGGGGTCCTGAATGCCGCCTCCCCGCCACGTGAGCAGCACCGCCCGCGGCCAATCGCAGCGGCCTGCGGGCGAGCGTGGTCGCGCTTTTGGTCCGCGCGCGTGCGGCGACGTGATCGAGCGGTGGCGCGTATAGAAACATTAAACACGACCGGCGAGCGGGTGAATGGCACGAGTTAAAGCGCTACGTGCATCATCAGTGACAATGTTGCGTAATTGTGCGATGCGCGTCAACAGGCTGCGCGGAGCTGGCCCTGCTGGGCCCCTCGCTGGATGAGCTGCTCAGCGGGCCGCTGCCCCGCACGCTGCCCTCGCCCCAGCTGCGGCCTGACCCGGCGCCGCTGCTGGCGCCGCCCACGGCCGCCTACTCCCGAGACCTCATCGAGTTGGAGCCGGCAACCGACGACAGCGGTAATCGAGTGAACGGCCACGCGGCGGCAACGCACGACACCCACCGTGATAAACGCAAGCGGCGCCAAGCATCGTGGCCGTGGCGGTCACGTCAATGGCACGGCGCTGGTCGAACCTCGTCACGCTCCCTCACCGTCGTCGGTCGTCGTGACCGCCATTATCACTCGCGTTGTCGTCACTGCCGCATTGTTACAGTTGCCAGAGAGCACCTTTGGTTTGTCGAATATATTTTGTAGCTTTCCCCCCCCCCCCCCCCCCCCCCACAAAATAGTGTTTACAATTGGTCTATGAACGTCGTGTCGTGAGACGAGAGGAATGGGCAGAGGTTTTATTATCGGAAGAAAACCGATGGGTGTAAATCGAAAGTCTATGGATGTTCATTTGAGGTTGTGGGTCTGCACAAATTTGGGTCTCTTGCTGAGAACAAAACTCTTGTAGAACCAGTGCATTAACACCCCTTGTTCGACAGCAGCCTACGGAAGCAGATATCACAATACTACATCTTAGATCACTTCAAGTGACCTCATTTACTGGCACACTTTGGCATGCATTGTCCCACTCATCCCGCTCCGGGAAAATATTTTTCACTTGGGTACGTGTTAAATTCTCGGAGCTGACATGAAAAGCCAAATTGAATGTGGGTGGCATTTTTGTAAATTCATTGGTGACTGATTTGAGCCCGTGACCTCGCTACACTTGCAAGCGCGGTTTAATCACGGACAAACTCACGATCTTCGAAAGAACTGGCTTCGTGTCCTCTGAGCCACACCTCATCTTTTCTCACATGGACTGAAGCTTAACAGTTAACTCTGTACACAAAAGGCAATCACCATATATGTCAATCAACAGGCGGAAACTCAAAGCCCACAAGGCATTTCGGTATCCATAATTGCCAAATGACCCAGTCATCATTATCATCGCACAACCAATGTTAGCTTTGTTAGCGTTTCAGATGGTGATATTGTAATGATGGTGCCGATTGATGTGGTGATTGTGGCTACCACCAGATCCGTCATTCTGGAATGCAGAGGAAGCGCTTGTGCCACCTCCGGGCTCTCCTCCGAACCCAGCGAGGAGGAACGGCTCCCCCTCCCTCGCCCGGCCTCTCGACAAGCAAGCTGAGCCGGCGTTGTCATTGTCATCAAAGTCATCCTCATCATCCTCATCATCGTCGGACGTGAGAGTCGAAGCGGGATGCGAGCCGGCAGGGCCGGGAGAGACCGGCAGTGTCAACGGCGGCAGCAGCAGCTGCGGAGATGCCGACGGAGTCCAGGAAGAAAGCGAAGGGCGGGATGACGCGAGAGGGGAGGACGAGGCGGCGCCCGACAGCCCGTCGCGCCGGCGCACTGGCCGCTCCCGCGTCCGCCTGGCGGTGAGCTTCTCGCTCGCGCCGCTGTGATGCCCCGCCAGCGATGACGGCGTCCGCAAGGAGAGACCGACGCCAACGACGCTGACGCCGATGGCGCCGTCCGCACCGTTTGCCGTCTGGCCGCTTTGGCGCCAACGGCGAGATTAACGACGACCCCACGACGTCGGCGCAGCGGCCGCGTGGGCGTCCCGTCGCGCCGCCCACGGTACGGCAGTTCAACGGCCGCGCTGACGACGACACCGCCGCGGCGATAACGCAAAGCAGTGCCTTAGCACTGCCACCACCGCCACCAGCAGCACTGTGACCGAGGTCACGGAATCGTCGCAAGGCGCGAGCCGCTGCAGGAGTCCCTGCTGCTCTTTAAACACCCTTTTTAAGTAAGGCACAACTAAAAAAAAAAGCAAGACGCACACCCCTTAACCCCAGGCTGCCGCGGTGCGAAGTTGAAGCTTCGCCCGTGCAAAAAAGTAGATTAAAAAGTTTACGATCAAGCACGCCCGTTAACGGCGCTCTCGTGATGTCGCTGCGACGGCCATACCCGCTGATGCCGTGATGTCACTCGAGCCCGATGACAGGAACGCACGACTTTGACTTTAAGTTATTTTTTATTTGTACTTATCGAAAGCTCAATTATGTACCCCCCCCAAGGCAGCCCACGCCGAGGATAAAACAAACTTTAAAGCCACTCCAAAGACAGCCACCGCGGTGATGTACTAGAAACTACGCACGTGACGGTCATGCTGCTGCAGGCTTGCCACTGCAGAGCATCCGTTCTCGCCTACGGCGTTTTGCACTCGTGTCGGGCAAACCCCGCTACGTGCAGCCACCTAGTTCCCCTGCACAGTGTCCGGACGACGGTAGCCGCCGGTGTTGTGCGGGGTTACGACTCGGCAAAGGGTCCCTTCGGTGCTTTAAAAACAAAATCTCGTACACAAAACCAAAATTTTGTTGCGGCCGGTGAAACACGAATATCACAGTTTGGCTTAAAGTGGACTTTTTTTCAGACTCTTTATTTTTTTAATGTTTTTTTATATATTTTTTTAAATAAAAATAAAAAGTTTTTTTTTTTAGCAGAGAATACATAGCGAGGCTTGGGTCTCAAGAGCCCTGGTCTCACTTTGGTTGCCGCGTTTTTTGGAAATTGCATCACGACAAACGTAATGCATCATCGTTGCCCCCAAGTTTGGCCAGGTTTTCAGCTGGTTTTTTTAATGGCCGCGAATAGTTTTGCAAAAAGTTTAGCAAACTTCGTGTTGAATTGGAAACTGGTCATGAATTCTCCTTATACTTTTGTTTACATTTTCTACGAGGTACCTTCAAATATGAATGTTTTGGCTGCGACACTGCTAATGGCTGAGCTGTAATGACTTATTTGCGCCAGCGAGTAGATTCGCCCTTCCGTTGGGATAATTACGCGAAAATAAAAATGAATAAATAGAACCAGACCCTAAAATTCGACGTGAAGTGGTTCGATCGCTCTTAAGGTGCATCTCGAGGAAAGGTCCTGAACACAATTTTACTGTCGCCAAAATAAAGTAAAACTCCCAGCAAGAAAACCCCGGGAGTAGATGTGCGTTAACAGGTAAAGGCGCAGCCCTGCAATTACTTTCTCCACTGGTGACGGAGGGCGTCTCAGCTAGAGGGAGCTCTAGAGAGGAGGCCTCTTAGACAGCGTTTGGCGTGTTAGGAGTTGCGGTTGAGAATCTGCGAGCGTGTCCTCGGGTTTCAACTGCGATCGCCCCATCACAGCGATTTATGCCCCCTAACCTCCGCCCACGGTTGGCCCAATCCAACGACGTCGAGCCCGATTGATGCTGTTCGCTGTATTAGAATGATAATTGCTCGAGGGTTGATCATCAACGAGCAAGGGGGTTCCCAGTCTCGGTCGCTCTTCCAATGCATTTTGCCATCGTGCCGCGCGTTTTTTAGGCAGGATGTCCGACGTTTCACTCCACGAGTTGAATCTCCCAGGACGCGGCGCGGAACGTCCGAACGGCACGCCGAAGGCATTTGGAGAGCGATGTAATGCCACAACCCCGATCGCCTACACGGTAGCATTGGGCTCCCAAGTGACCGATTCTACGTCACCTTAATTGTTATTCTCTCTGTTGCTGGCGGGGTTTTAGTTTTTGCTTTGTTCTAAACGATGGAGGCCGACGGGGCCACGCGTCACACGTGGGCACGCCTCTCGTCGGCTCGGACGTGTTCAAGCCGATGCCCCCCAACGCACGTTCGGTGATCCCCTTGGCCAAAAAGTTTCTGACGTGTCTCCCCCGCCGCTGCCGGGTTGGTGGGAGAGAGAGGGGATGGGCGGCCTGCCATCGAGCCGAGTTACGCTTTTTTTCTCGGTTAGAGGATCGAACGCGTAAACGGATGTGGCCGGGCATGTGTTTCGCTGCTTTTACGACGGCGTCCACAGGCATGCGCACGGCCGCGTTGGCAACAGCCGTTACATTCGCTCTCCTTCATTGCGAGGACTTCGAGGCGTTACGATTAAGTTGCGTGACTGGAATATTGAATTGTTGAAACCTGGCTTGAGACTTAAGTGAAGCGTTACGTTTAAAGGCAAGAGTGGCGAAAGCGCTTGTCGTAGCCCTGCCTCCAGCCGCACGTCCGTCCGTCCGTAGGCCTCAAGCCTTAAGGCCAAAGCTCCCGCGGTGCCTCCTGCCATCGACCCTATCCGCTCCTCATCCCCCGTGGTTTTTTGGTATCCGTCTCTTGAGCTCCAATGCAACTCGTCCCGCAGCTGCCAGGGCCCTGTCGGATATTATTGTTGGGGATTATTTTCTCCTTTTGGTCTGTTGCACCCCCCAACCCACTCCACCCTACTGCCCCCCTCGCCCTCCCGTTATGTCTCCCACCAAGTAGCTCCCCGTGTTTTTATTGCGTACACCGCTCTTTGATCTCGCCGCAAAGAGTTTTAATTCAGTTTGAGCTCGCGGGACCGGCGCCCGTCCGTTACTGCGACCGAATGGGCGCCCAAACCGATGACAAAATTAAATAAAAAAGGCATGAAAATAATGCAAGGGAATGAGGCAGCGTCTTCGCTGGCATCTAGAGATTACGTTTATTTTCTCTCCCTTCATTCATGCCTCGCTCTCTTTCTCTCGTTCTCCTGGATTTGTAGTCGGGGGTGGCGTCATCCTGAGGGTGACTATGGGCGTCCACCAGAGGCAGCTTTTCCCCGGGGAGGGTGTGACGAGACATCAAACTCCCGTGTCGCGGTCACTGTTCTAACGTTCTCGACCGCCCTTGCAAACCATTGTTTTTAATGTTTTGAGCTATCACGCCTGTTGCACGGAGTGGGTGGCCGTGCGGATCTAGCCTGGGTCTCAGTCGTGCATTGCGCCTTCCAGGCAGTGGAAGAGACCTCGGCAGGAACATTCCTGACTGAGATATCACGGCGAACGGTGGTGCTTTTTGGCGATTGTCGTTGAGGGCAGGGGCTGGTGTGTCTGTGTGTCTGTGCGCGTGTGCCCGTGTCGGTTGGCAGCAGCCTCTTGTGCATGCGTAAGCATGTGTGTGTGTGTGCGCGCGCGCGTGCATGTCGTTGCATATGCGTAGCACAAAACCACGTTTGTGTTACTCCTTGCCCTTGTGTGGAAAACGGTGATGCAGTGGTTGGTGAACTACGCCAATATCCCAGCGAGCTAGGTTCGATCCCCAGCCATGGACAATATCAGTAGCGAGTGGTGTCAGAACCTGTCGTGGACCTCCCTTCGGTCGACTAGGCCTTAAATGAGTAACTCGTGCACTATGAAAACATCAGCTGGGCCAACAATCGGCCGGGCGTGGTGCTGGCCACACCACCCCCACGTGCGCCGCGGCGGCCTTAATAGTTGCTCACTTACAGCACTTGCCCCGACAGACTACAAGGCTATACAGGGGATTTTCATTCTTCGTGTGTGTGTGTGTCTCGTGTTTTTTGTGACGTGAGAACGTGGCCATGTTGCGCGTGCGGATGCTGTATTGTGCACAATCCGCACTTTCGTCATTGTGTGTGTGCGCGTGCTGTAAGTCAACACACAATTGTGTGTGTGTGTGCGCGTGTGTGCGCGCGTGTGTGTGCGTGCGATGCACGAGAGCATGCCACACACTGTATAGTGCAGTTTCCCAGGCGTGTGTATCTCTTTGTGCGTGTGTGTACTGGGTGTGTCGGGCACGTGAACTTGAGTCCGGTTCTCTACTCCCTGCCCCAAGCATCGCAATGCCGTTTCACCTCTCTATGTTACAAGCCCAGGTGCATTCCTTTTAGTCCCAGCTCTTGGAGACGGGGTGGGGGGGGGGATTAGTATTAATTTTTTTCACAGAAGCTCCGCGGTTTGTGGAGCGGGCTGTTACATATCAACTGCCCGATAGGAACATCCTTGTCAGCGGAGGAATACACTCGACTGATGGATCCCTCGTCAGGGTGAACCGGCGTGTAGTCATCCACTTAGTTTTAACCTCCGGCGAAAGTTATGAAGGCCCCACCTGGTTTTAAGCCTGGTGGTTGCGTTGGGCTGCTGTGCGGATTGACCCGCACGCTTGCCCCCCCCCCCGCCGCCCGGTGGGTTTTCTTTTCTTCGTCCCGTGATACCGGTGCCAACGATCCCACCCCCCGCACGCCACACACCTTCCCCCCCCCACGTCACGCCCCCCCCACCACCCCCCCCCCCACTCCCACTTGGCGCGAGCGTCGCGTCGCCTTGACGCGCCGTGAGTTCGGGGCCGAGCGTCGACCGTTGTGAAATATGCAAACCTTGCATAGATCGCAACCGCGCTCGCCACCCCACCGCGTCTCTCGTGGTCGGTTGGGGAGGAGGGGGGTGGGGCGGGGAGTGGATGGGGGGGGGATGGTGGGGACGGGGGGAGCGGCTCTGCGTTGCAAGTCGAGTCCAGGGTGCTCATTTATTTTAACAGAGCGAGGACTGTTCATTGGCTCAGGGTGCTGCACGTTTTTATTTTGTTAGTGGGAAGGTGGATTTTGGGGGGGGGGGGGGGGGGGGTTGAGTGGTTCCCGGAGGGGGGGGGGGTGGAATGTGCATGTTTGTGCACATGTCACATATCAGTCCGCCATGTTGGTGGCATGAACTCTGCCATGTTGGTGGTCGAAATGAGCGACACCAAAACTGCGCCGTCTCTATTGCATCGCGTTTGCCTCCGTCTGTGGCAGTGCTCGCACCTTTATTGGCGCTTGCGCGTGTGCCGCCCCTGCTCAGGTGAATCGGTACCAACAGTGAAAGAAAGTTTGGGACTGTCTGGGTTATAGCGGCTAGGCTTAAGAGCTAACATGTGCAGTGGGGGGGTGTGTAGGGTTGACCTGCTCTTGGTGACCCAATTTTCATCGGACGATCATTGGTAAAGAGGACACTGGGAGCTCTTGTCGATGAGTCTCGCGGTATCCCCTGCCGAGCGTTGGTGATTTTGTTGTTGTTTCGAGCCCCGGCCTTGGCTGGGCTATGCTTGGGGTTGGTAGAGCTGGGCAGGACCTGAGGATGAGGGTTGTGGGTCGCAGTTTGTTGCTGCTGTTTTGGGGGGGTTTTTTGCGCTTTTTAATTAACGAGATTGTCTTCCACCCAGTGCGTTTGTGTCTTTATCAGTTTTTAGAATCGGCCAAACACCGCAATGAGAAGCTTCCTAGAAAAGTATCTAAGCCCGGCTGAGGTTTTCCTATTAAATATGCCAATTTAAGATTCGTATAATTGTTCATGAAATAGTTTTCTGAATTTATTTTAAACTTTTATGGGAACTTGAGCCATAGCTAAATGCATCGAAGCTATAGAGGGCTTTCTCCTCGCAACAAAATTCGTACCCAAGGAATTCAATGAACTCTTTAGCACCCGTGGTCACTTTTTTTTCGATGCCCGGCGATTTGTAATTGGCATTCGAATGGCGACGTGGGGTGGGCCACCTGCGGCCTCGTTCGGTTTCACTTCTGATTTTGTCCCATCCAATGGGATCCGCTTGACACGTCCGCGATGGTCTGTGGCAGCCGCTTATTCATTACCTGAGCAAGCGTTGCCGCGTTGCATTTGAAGGGGTCTGTGTCCCCCCCCCCCCCCCCCCCCCTTCATCTGACCCTCCTCTGCTAACCTCCTCTGGGCTTGGTTTCCGGCCCTTACAATAGCTTGTATCGGCTGGGTCAACCAAGCCCAGCAAGCTACGACCCAGAGACATTTCCCATCTTCTTCACGGTGAGCGGTTTCGGTGACGCCCGCTCACCGTGTCCACCACCCCGCCGGACGTTTGTGAACGTTTTCGAAATTTGGGAATCTCAGTGGGGTTTAGATTTTTTTGCGTGCATTGCGGTGTGTCTTAGCGTTCCCTTTTTTTGTTTCTTTTGCTCTTTGCGCTGTGACGTGTGAATCCCTGCGGGAGGAGAGTGGATGCTTTCGTGCATGTTCACTTTTTTCGACGGTGCCCAAAAAAAAACGCGTCCAGTGGACGAGCTGAGCGAGCGTGCCCCACTACTACAACTATTATTACGCCCGCACGCGCACGGCTCAAGGACGGGTCCTGTTCGCGGAGCGCGCGAGATGCATCACCAATGGCAGCAGAGGGCACCGTGGGAGCGGCATCCAAAAAAATGTTAGTCGAGGACATTTTCTCCCGCCGTACGGCGATGGATGTGCGGCGGCGTGCGGCGTCAATCCCACGGCCGATATCGTCGCTGGGTCTCGCGCGATGGAGCAGGGTTTAGCTTCGTATGAGCACTTGGTGTTGGGAGACTGCTGCCTTGCGAATAGCAGGTGTTTTGTAGGCTTGGTGGCTGTGTAGGGTGGCCAGGAGGTGGCGGTACAGCAATGGATTATTGAATCTATTTGAAGAGAATTTAACTTTTGAGATCCTCATTCATAGTTCCCCCTCGTATTCACAGTTTCTCCTCCCAACGTGAACCGAACCGCTCGTTCGTGGACCCTTCGGAGGGGAAAATAAAAAATGAAGTCTCGAGAATTTGCGAGGCTTTCCCCGGGAAAAAATATAGGGCGTTATTATTTGCACCTTGCGGATAGGGTGGGCGACTCGGTTTTTGCTCTGCGGGCCATTTTTGTATAGGAGGAGGTTTGACCGTTCAGATACGAACGATCGGCTTATCATGAACTCTGTTCCGACTTAACCGGGCATTTTGCATTGCTTGGAGCAATACACACCGGCCCCGTCGTGAAGAAATGTTAATGTGTAAACGATAGCGGCCGTGGCATTGCGTGCAACTTCGTTGTAAGAGGAGGTTGGACCGTTGCGATACAAACGCTCGGCTTGTTCTGAACTCGGCTCCGACTTGAACGCAGGGGAGGTGGTGGTGGCGACGACAGCGGTCGTCGATCGGAACTGATTTGGTCACCAGCTTAGAAACCCGGCGGGGAATTGCGTCTCTTTGGCAAGGGGAGACTCGGAGTTCGAGGAGGGCACTAAAAATCCCAGTTGGATTGGCCTTTGAACCTACTTAATTCCAGTCCGCATTTTCACACCCGCTGCCCATGTTTGCTGCGTGTAAATATGAATGGTAAGCGGCATCGTACGTGAGGTTAGGCGTTGTAACAGTGCATCAAAGCGTCGATTCGAACGGATTGTTACTCTTTGAGGATGCACGTAAAATGTTATTGCGTGTAAGTAAAAAAAAAAAATGTATTTACATTGAATTTGGAAATGATGCCGTTCGTTTGTGTTCTCATCTCGGCCGATAGTGCCGAAACAAAGCTGTACAAACGAGACGCGCGAAAAAGAAAGGACCAATCCAAACGTGACGATGAAAAACGATACGAAAAGATAATCGATTGTTCGAATGAAACCGCGACCCCCCCCCCCCCCCCCGAATAACGACAGTTTGATGAAGTTATCAGGCGGGGGGGGGGGGGGTGACCATGCCGTGTGCGTTGCTACGCTGCTAACCGTGAAATGTGTTGAGCAGGAATGAAAATCTGTAAGCGTTGGGCGCGCACACAACCTCCTGTTTACATTCGTGTCGTGTGTAGTCACGTCACCTGTAAGTGTGCGCTTTCTTGTTAGTGTGCGTGTACGCGCACGTGTGCCTCGTTATGCAGTCCAGGACGAAGTAGTTTCTGCCCTGCTCAGCATAAAACAGCGCACCGCACGCAACCATTCGGCACGTAAACCACCCCCAAACTAAGTGACAGCCGCTATAGCAGATAACTGCCAGGTGAATGGCAGCACCATTTACCCTGGTCGCCTCTTGCTTCTACCGTCGCCCCCCCCCCCCCCCCGAATCCCCCCCCACCACCACATTTTATTTTAACTCTTGAGATGATGTTTCTCCTTCCATCCCCGTGCCTCGTCCATCTTCCCTGAGCCGCCAGTATTCATGCAGGCACGTCCGGTACTCCCAATGGACAATGGGTGCGATGCCTATGTACATATCATGTATAAAGAAAACCTTTTTACGATGAGACCGCGTGGATTTGACGCGCTAACCCCGGCGTTACGCAGCCGGCGAGTTGGCCTCGTGGCATCCGCGCGCGTCGGGCATTTTGCGTCGCATGGAGCAATATACACCGGCCTCGTCCTGACGAAATGTTAACGTGTAAACGATAGCGGCCGCAACGTTGCGTGCAACTTTCGGTCGATTTTGAAACTTATGAAGCGAGCGCAGTGCTCGGAGAGAGGAGGACTGGCATCCAACTCCTCGGAGACGTTGGAAGAGTCGCGTTAAGACGCTAGTTTGTGCCGATGGCGTGGCCAGATTTGAGTGCGAGTTCGTAATTCAAGAAGTGGCCACCCCCGGACCGATGGCGTGAATTCCGACCTCGAGCCGTCGGGGAAACCCGGCGAGCATGCCTTCCAACAAAACAACATTCTTTTTTTGCCGTGGGAACAAAACATGCCACCGGGCGTTTGGTGCACAGTTCGAACGGCAGAATGACGTCGAACGAAACGGAAAGTTCGAGCGGGCGACGAAAACGCTCCGGGTGCGGTTCCCGCTTGCGTGTGTCGGTGGGTCGTTTGAGAGCCTGGCTGGTCGCCGCTTCGCCCGGGCTGGGATTAGGCGGCCACCGACGTACGGATCGCCACCGATCGTCCTAAAATAGAAAAACACTGAAGACATTTCTCAGCGGCCACGCGTTTGCTTCGGGTAATCGGGCAGCCCCGCGTGATTGCTCTCGACCCACGTGGTTGAATAAATCTGGTCGCAGATGTCACGCGGCGAAGAAAGGCTGCGAGTGTGTTTTTTTCTTTTCTTGAAGGAAGCCATAACCCAAGAAAACAGGAAAACAGCTCTCGTATTGTAGACACGCACCGAGGCCGTGCGTCCCGGGCTGTGCCAGGCCACGTCGGACGTTTTGCTCGTGAGAAAATAATCATGGTGGCATCTAGTGCCGTCAACGTGACGCCATATCCAACATTTCGGTGGTGCCACTCGAGCGCAATGATGGATTGCATGACCATGATTTAGAAGCTTTTTTTTCCTTTATGATCAAAGATCGGCGGACAAGCCCAGCAGGACACACACCGCCTGAGGGCGGGTGTCTACGATTAGAACTGTACATATTTTGAGATGCGCATTCGTTTTGGTCAACTGGCACACTCGTTGATTTACAGTGCCGATTGCACTGGTCAACACACTTTTTCTGGCATAAGGTATTCCAATGGTCTTAAGTTAATTTTGGGGTGCTGATTCCAAATTTGGCATCAGTTTTTGTCTTATCACATCAGGTTTTTGAGATCAAATATTGAATTTTCAATAAAACCTGCAGAAGAAAAATATTAAATAAATGTGGATATCTACATAAAATTATATTATAAACACACTATCCTAAAAATACAGCACCATATTTTAACACTAAAGCAGTCACCGACTCGCAACAACTTGCAATCATAAGTGACAGAGTTAATTTCGGGTAAAATCTATGAAAATGGGGTATGCCGATAGCATAAAAATTAGATGTGATAGAGCAAATCTGAGATCAGATTTGGAATTAGCACCCTGAAATTAGTCTAAAACAGCTGCAAAAGTCCAGGCCAGAATTTCTTTTTTTTGTTGACCAGTGTTATTAAAGAGTGTAACATTTAAACATTTAGGCCACCAAGTGTGCAGCAACGGTGTTATCGCCGCACACCTGCGCATGTGCAGTTGCCCACGACCACGACGATGATGATGGTAATGCTAACGATGACAGTGACGGTAATGGATGATGATGAACCTTGGGTGATCGTCAATACGCGAAAGGGAAAAGGATGTCACGCGTGCTTCTTGTGAATCGTCGCCGTCCGTGGCGGATTACGCCGCCCTGTCAAAATGTCTAGGAACGTGTGGGGCCGCATTTGCAGGCAGAACCGCGTTCGCTGTGCGGTGGCGCGCTCTTCTGTCCGCAGCCCGCAAAAAAAATTTAGCCCGTGGGCTGCAGGCTGTGGATCGGCCGGTATTGCGGAGTTGTCTACTCAGGGGGGGGGGCGAGCGCTCACTGGGTTTTTTTTGTTTTTGGGTCGATCGCGCACGGATGGGCATCGTGCGTGCGAGACGCCCACGACGACTACAAAGGCAACGGGCGAGGTGCCTGTAGGCTTCGGCACCGCAAGTAAGCGTCACAACCTCTCCGTGGTGTCGTGTTTAATTGGTGCGTGGCCCTCCCTGACATGCGAGGGTGGGTCCGGAATGCTGCAATTGGCAATGTGACACAAAATAAGCAGGACCTGCCCTGAAAGAGAAGTCTTGGGACCATGACACTGGGTAGGGATGGCACAGGGGTCGGGGTGAACCCGAGGGGGGGGGGGGGGGGTTATGTGTTGGGGGAGCTTATGGTTAACAGAATGCAGGGTAAATGTATCGGAGGCTTACTTCGGGTTAACCTGAGAAAGGGTTCATCCATTTAAGGGCAGGGTAGGAAATAACCAAAGGGGGGGTGGGGTGGGGGAGGGTTACAAACTGACGATATAAAAAACGTGAGTGTGAAAGTTTAACCCGAGTCGGGGTCACGATGTTGACGTGAGGTTGGAGTCACGATATTGTTGCGTTTTTGGGGTTAGGGTTCACCTGAGCCGGGTCGAGGCGACGCGAATCGATGTGAAACCGCCATTGTTCACCCCCGAGCGATGGCTCGGGATCGATGTCTGTCTCTCTCCCTGAGCCATCTCGAGGTCACTGTGAGCCCTCTCGGGATCGTGTCTCAAGGTCACTTGTCTCTGTGAGCTGTGTCTCAGGGTGGCTGCCCCCCCCCCCCCAACCCCCCCCCCCCCCACTTCACCACGTGTCCATTCCCCATTGCGTGCCCCCAGGGGCCCCCTGTGTGTGTGTGTTTTGTGAATAAAACTGTGCACTGCAAACGCGCGCCTCCGCTCTGCGTTATTCGCCCTCTTACATCGGTTTGCGTTCATCGCCGCAGCTTCTTCGCATGATTCTGCCATGTTTAATAATAACACTGGTCAACACACTTTTTCTGGCATAGGTATTCGAACGATTTTAAGGTAATTCGAACGGTTTTAAGGGGTGCTGATTCCAAATCTGGCATCAGTTTTTGTCCATCACATCAGGTTTTTGAGATATCAAATATTGCATTTTCAATAAAAACTGCACAAGAAAAATATTAAATAAATGTGGAAATCTACATAAAATGATATTATAAACACACTATCCTAAAAATACAGCACCATATTTTAACACTGAAGCAGTCACTGACTCGCAACAGCTTGCAATCATAAGTGACAGAGTTAATTTCGGGTAAAATCAATGAAAATGGGGTATGCCGATAGCATAAAAATGATGTGATAGAGCAAATCTGAGATCAGATTTGGAATCGGCACCCTAAAATTAGTCTAAAACAGCTGCAAAAGTCCAGGCCAGAAAAAAATGTTTTTTGTTGTTGACCAGTGTAATCACAATACTCCTCGTGGGCCTTGCATTAAGCAGCAGTGGCTCGACCGAGGCTGCCGATGCTGATTCTCGTGCCGTGTTCTTCAATGCAAGACCACGTGGGCAACTGGCGCCCCCCCCCCCCCCCCCCCCGGGTCGCCTTTATTTCGGCCGCCTGACGTCCGTCCCCCGACAATACACAAATGTGAAAACACCCCAGCATCATCCTTATCGTGCTGCTGTCAACGCCCCCCCCCCCCCCAATTGTTTCAAACATGCGGCGGCCCTCCGCACACTGGTGATGTCTTCTCGGCGAAAGTGGGCCCCCATTTGAAAATGCGCGAAGAACGCTTGCTTTCGTGGGGGGTGTCTGCAAGGTTTACTCTCTCATGGAATCATCTCACCTTCCTCAACACCCCCCCCCCACTCCATCTTTTTATTGGATAGCTCCGGCTGAAATCAAGACGTGGGTTTAGCTATAAACGAATCACGCTGTGGATCGTGACCGGCTCCCGTCATAGCACAGGTAGAAGAGGTAGTCGGTAGGTAGGTAGGTGGTGGTGGCAACACGTATCGATGAGACACGAGTCACGCCGACGATTTTTAACAAACCTGTTTGCCCATAAATATATATAGTGCAGAGCATTAAAACGGCCGCGGGCGAGGACGCGCGTGACGTCAGCAGTGCGAGCGACTCGGTTAACAAAAAAATAATTAACGCATTGGCGTTGAGTTGTGGCGCGCGTTCCATCGGCTGTCTGTGAGTCTCCGTAGCCTTAGTTGGTATGTCATGTACAGTCCAGTATCCGTCCACTGCTGGGTGAAAGTCCGTGTGGATTAAGTGAAGGGGGGGAGGGAGGGGGGGTAGGCGCAGGTGTAGGAATTGAACTCTGTGGGATTCTCATTGATGGTGCAGTGCGCTAACCACTGCGCCACCACTCCATTATATAGGCATTGTAATTGCCCGGGTCGGTGTACTACCCCGAGTTACAATATCCTGAGTTGTAGTGCCGGTCATTTGACCCCGAGTTACTCGAGTCTGGGTTATAGCCCAGGGCAGTGGACCCTGAGTTACTACATCCTGAGTTATAGCCCAGGGCAGTGTACCTCGAGTACTACACAGCTTGAGTTATAGGCCAGGGCAGTGTACCCTGAGTTACTACACATCCTGAGTTATAGTCCAGGGCAGTGTACCCTGAGTTACGACACCTTGAGTTATAGCCCAGGGCAGTGTACCCCGAGTTACTACATCTTGAGTTATAGGCCAGATCAGTGTACCCTGATTTACTACATCTTGAGTTATAGGCCAGATCAGTGTACCCCGAGTTACGACACCTTGAGTTCTAGCCCAGGGCAGTGTACCCCGAGTTACTACAGCTTGAGTTAAGATATAGAGTCCTGGTCGGTGTACCCCGAGTTACTCCACCTCGAGTTACACTCCGGGTGTGTGTAGTTGATATCTGCGGCCCGAACAGACGCAGGGCAGGCGGAGTGCGGCAATGGCCGTGGTCGGGGCGGGGAGTCCCCCTAGGCGCGCGGGACTCAGGAGCCGCGTCCTGGGGGGGGCCGCCGCGGGAAGTGGCGAACGGCGTCGAGGGGGAGGAAGACGGGGAGGCGATCCACGTGCGGTGGAGGGGACTGCGCGAGGAGACGGAGCGTGAGACGTCGGCAGCGTTGCGCTCGGAGCCGGTGGTGGTTCCGGATCGGATCGGGTGGTCGCACTCGGAGCGGGAGTTGCGGAGAGACGAGACGACGGAGCTCACGCGCGAGACGGAGCTGGATCGCGATGGAAAGTTGGAGCGCGAGGCGGAGCTGGAGTCGGAGACAGAGCTGGAGTGGGAGACGGAGCTGGAATGGGAGACGGCGCTGGAACGCGAGACGGAGCGCGAGACGGAGCTGGAACGCGAGACGGAGCGCGACCTTGAGACGGAGCTAAAGCGTGAGACGGAGCGCGAGACTGAGCTCGAGACGGAGCTAAAGCTCGAGACGGAGCTGGAACGCGAGACGGAGCGCGAGCTGGGGCGCGAGACGGAGCTAAAGCTCGAGACGGAGCGCGAGCTGGGGCGCGAGACGGAGCTAAAGCGTGAGACGGTGCCCGAGACGGAGCTGGGGCGCGAGACGGAGCTGGGGCTGGGGCGCGAGACGGAGCTGGGGCGCGAGACGGAGCTAAAGCGTGAGACGGAGCTGGGACGCGAGACGGAGCTAAAGCGTGAGACGGAGCTGGGGCGCGAGAGTGAGCTGGGGCGTGAGACGGAGCTAAAGCGTGAGACGGAGCTAAAGCGCGAGACGGAGCGCGAGACGGAGCTGGAGCGCGAGACGGAGCGCGAGATCGAGAGGGAGTTTCGCGAGGCGTCGCACGCGCTGGAGCGGGAGCTCGAGCGGGAGCTGTGCCGCACCGAGGAGAGGGCGCGGAGCCTGGAGCGCGACCTGCGGGACACGCGGGTAGGGCGACGACACCGAGGGGGTCATCCGCCACCCGTACCTCATCCACCTCGTCACTCGCTCATTCACGCGCGCGCGTGCTCGCTTAGTCAGTGGCTCATCCATTCATCCACTCATCCATTCATACTGTTTTATTCACTCATTCGTTCACTGTTGGCTTAAATAAAAAAAATCACTCACGCCTCAACCCGCTCATTCAATCCCCCATTCATTCACTGGCTTCGTCACTGGCTGATACCATTATTTCACTTATTAACTGGCATTATGAAAGTATTATTATTATTATGAACCATGACCCCCCCTCCCCACCCTTGCTACCCCCCCCGCCCCATCCCTCCCCCGCTCCTTCCGAACCCCCTCCGCTCCCCGCCGCTCCGATCCCCGGTTGCTGCGCAAAAAGGCGCGCGCCTCGCGGGAGCGTGCCGAGTGGAGCGCGCGCGTCTCCCACGTGGAGAGCGCGCTGCGGGAGGCGGGCGAGACGCGGGAGGCCGAGCGGGGCCTCGTGCGCCTCCTCGAGCAGCGCAACGACGACCTGGAGCGCGCGCTCAGGTGCACGCGCACGCACGCGCACGCACGCGCATACAGGCAAAGATTCCACGCGCATAGCCCAACGCAGAGTGTTGGGGCAAGTGCTGTTCAGGGAGTAGCCGTTGAATCCCGGAATGACACGCGAGGTAGGGTGGGTGGTCCCCCCCCCCCCGATTGGCGATGTTTACACATCGCACCAGGTGCTCATTTGAGGCTCAGTCGACCCGAGGCCCCAGGACCCGTTCAAATACTCGCCACTGATTTTAGTCTGTGAGCTGCAAGCAAACTTTGGGCTCGCAGAGCAGTCCGCTAACTACCGTACTCCCAACTCCCCATATTTGATACCCACTTTCAGTACGTACGGTATATTACGAATTCACCCATACTGTACCTACTTATATACTGTACTTACCTGTGGCCCACAAAGTATAGTTCCAGTAATACCCCGATTTACATACCCCCCCCGCCCCGTTTGACGTCGTTTCGCAAATACGTCGTCACTTTATTAATACCACGAACCCGATTTGCGTCGTCTCAACCTCCACACTTACGTCGCTGACTGCGTCGCCGTCCGTCCCGACGTCTCGTTTACCCGTCGCCTCTCAGCCTCCTCCACCGCAGCCTCCCTCCCTACCCTGTACATCGCTTCCACTTATTACGTCGTTTCGATATGCGTCGTCGTCGCCGCACCTTACAGGAACGCATCCCCGACGTAAATCGGGGGTATTACTGTAAAATGTGTAAAACATTGTCCCTTGTTCTAAGATAGAATTTCTTTAAAAAATGCTTATTGCGTTAAGTTTGTTGTACTCCCCCCGTACCTCCGATTCGCACGCTTGGCTACATACTGTGCGAAAGCAGTTCAACATACATACTGTACTACATAACATCCCTTGCTCTAAGACGTACAATTTTGAAGACGACTTTTTGTGTCAAGTTTGTTGCATTCTCCCCGCACCTCCGATTCGCACGCTCGGCCACGTACGCTGCGAAAGAAGTTCAACATAAATACTGTACTATAAACATCCCTTGTTCTAAGACGTACAATTCTTAAGACGACTTTTTGCGTTAAGTCTGTTACATTTCCCCCGCACCTCCGATTAGCACGCTCGGCCACGTACGCTGCGAAAGCAGTTCAACAAACATACATGCGCGCGTATGTTTGGATATCGCGCAAGAATCCATGCGCGCGCATGATTTTTCTTCTTCGCTCCTCCTCCTCCTCGCCGCTGTAAGTCGCCTTTGTCGTCGTCGTTGTTGTCGCTGCTGCCGCCGCAGGGTGGCGCTGTCGTCCCTGGAGGAAGCCGAGCGGCAGCTGAACGCGACACTCGAAGGGAAGGCGCTGCTCGAGGCCGAGCTGGAGGAACGCGACCTCCTGCGCGTCGAGACGCAGCGACTACGGGAGGAGGCGCGCGGTGCGCTCCGACATCGAGACACTCATGGGGGGGCAGGGGGGGGTGTCCGGTACTCACCCCGGACCCACACGGGGGGGGGGGGGGGGTCCAGCACTCACCCCAGATCCACTTACCCACACGGGGGGAGGGGAGGGGGGGTCTAGCACTCACCATGGACCCAGAACACGGGGATCCAGTATTGTTAGTGGAATGCTTGAAACCTGGCCCTGATCCTTGAACCCTCTCTGAACCTCTAACCCTCAACCCATGACCCCCATGCGTTTCAAGGCACCGATCCCCGCTCACACTGCCCCCCCCCCCCCCCGTGCGTCTCAGACCTGCGCCAGGAGCTGTCCGTCGTGCAGAAGCAGAGCCTGGCCCGGACGCCGCCGCCACCGCCGCCGCTATGCCCCACGGCGCTCAGAGCCCCACCGAGGGGCACCCATCCCTCCTGCGTGTCCCCCCTCCTGCAGATGAACGCCACAAGCCGGGGGCGGGCACCCACCACGGTACGGGGGTGGTGGTGAGGGTGGTGGGGGTGGTGGAGGGGGTGGTGCAGGGGGTGGTGGGGTAGTGGAGGGGGTGGTGGGGTTGGTGGCGTTGCAGATGATCGTCATGGTGGTGGTCATGATGCAAATGTTGACGGTCATAGGTGTGGTCATGATGATGATGATGTTGACGACGGAGGAGGCGTTTGTGTTGGTGGTGATGACAATGGTGGTGGTATTGCTGATCTTGATGGTCTTGGGGGCCGTCCATAAATGACGTCACGCACCTGGGGGGGGGGTCAGACATTTGGGACGATGTGTGACGAGGGGGGGGGGGGTTTGAGAAATGTGACGTCACATCAAAATGCGCAACTTTAAATAGACACGTTCTACTTAATTAAATAGACTTTTTAATAAATGTTTTCTCCTACAACATCAGAGTGCAGCGCCACATTAAATACGCACTACAATGACAATAGTTTAAAGCGATTTGAAGCATGTTTCATTTTTTTGGGTGGGGTGGGGGGCAGAGCTTTGTGACGTCATATTTGAGGGCGGGGGGTCTGACTTTTTTTGACGAGGGAGGGGGGGGTCAAAAATCGTCCAAAATCGCGTGACGTCATTTATGGGCGGCCCCTTTGTGGTGGTGGTGGCGATCTCTTGCAGGTCTCCACCTGGGCACTGCCTGCGCCGCCGCCCCGCTCGCCATCCAGGTTCACGCGGGGTCATGACCCCGTGACCTGGACTCGGTGGCCTCCCGTCGCCTCCCCCTTCACGCACCCGTGGCCCCCGCAGCAATACCACAGGTGCAGCCCCCCCCCTATCCCCCCAACCCCCCCACCCTATCCCCCCAACCTCCCCCACTCTGTTCCCCCCAACCCCCCCACCCTATCCCCCCAACCCCCCCACCTTATCCCCCCAGCCTAACCCCCCCAATCCTATCCTCCTAACTCTCCCACCCTATCCCCCCCACCCTATCCCCCCCAACCCCCTCAGCTTATCCCCCCAACCCCCCCACCCTATTCCCCCAACCCCCCCACCCTGTTCCCCCCAACCCCCCACCCTATCCCCCCAACCCCCCCACCCTATCCCCTCAACCCCCCCCACCCTATCCCCCATAACCCCCCCCCCACCCTATCCCCCGATGGGGTGCAGAGACTAATCTCTTGGGATTATCGGCCGTGGGCGGTGCAGATCGGGGGGGAAGGGGTGGGGGGTGCACCTTTTACATTCAGAAGTCGATTGACCGTGGCTGATGGCGACTCGCTCGAGGTGCACCGCCTACGACTCTCAAACAAGAGTCTCCGCCTCTCTGTGTGTCTCCCGTGTGACTTGTGTTCATCTCCACGGGTTGTTTGTTGTCTGTGTGTTTTCTTCTTCAGAGAGTGGGAGTCCCGCGCGGCACTGCGACTGCATCTGCTCACGCTGAGAGGCACCTTGGCTCCGTCCAGATTCCTGCAGCTGAGTCGCATCTCGCGCTCCTGAGCCCCAAGGAGCCCCAAGGAGCCCCAAGGATCAGTCCTTGGTGCCCCAAGTGGCTCAAAGTTCAGGTTACACGGTGGGGGAGTAGGAAAGCGAATGGTCAACTCGAATGATCTAATACAGACAAGGAGCCAATTGACGCGAAACTAAAACAACAAATTTATCTCTCTCGTCGCTTATCTTCGGATGCGCTTCCGCGGCCGTCTGGAACGCTCTTCCTTCAGATATTACGAAGCCACTGGAGCTATGCACTTTCAAATCATCACCCAGATTGACAAACCCATTTACTTTAGAACTCCTTCTTGTGTTTAGCTTGTTGTTACTTCCCCCGCACCTCTGGTTAGCGCGGTTGGCTACGTACGGTACGAAAGAAGTTCAACGCAGGTACATGTTTGCCTGCAGCTCTGTTCTCTCGTCTAACGCTACCAATGTATCTGTCGTCTTCCCTCTCATCTCACTGCGTCTCCGTCTCTGCATCTCGCAGCTAATTCCACCTCTTGCCCCCTTGTCCACATTTGCACAACGCGTCCTGCCCCAGAGGGCCTCAGGTCAGCGAGAACTCGACTTGGAGGGGGTGGAAAACAACCCCCTTAAGGTAAAACCAAGAAACTGAGGCTCAGAAACTAAGAAGAAGTCTGAAACCCAAGAAACTGAGGCTCAGAAACCGAAGAAACAAAAAATAAGAAACCCAAGAAAGTGAGGATTAGAAACCCAATAAATTAAAAACAGAAGCCCAAGTAACCGAAAATAGAAACCCAAGAAACCGGGACATCGACACCAAAGAAACCCGAGGCAACGGTGTCTTGGGTATCCTCTTGAGCGCGTGCTTGGCCTACTCTTCCACGCTGGGCACAGACCCCCCCCCCCCCCCCGTGTCCACCTGTTACAGGCTGCTGGGCCGCTTCGATTCCAGCTCGAGGACGAGAAGCTTTGCTCGTTATTTGGGGCTGCTCGCGATGATGCTTGTTAGGGGCCATCCATTTAGTACGTGGAGGGGGGGGGGGGTCTACTGACAATGTGGGTACGCATAGGAAACGGGGATGGGGTGGGGGTGAAGCTTCGATAATAATTAATTTATTAATTTGTCTACATTGGCCTTCAAATGAGTTCAAACTTAATTTGGAGCTTTCGTGACTGCAGGAATTATTCTTTGGTTCTTTCGGTAAAGTGACGTATAAAGAGAAAATAATCAATTAAATACGAGCATACGACGTTTCGATTGCAACACAAGCAATCATCATCAGGTATAAATGAAATAGAAACACGAATTTAGTATACTTAGAAATGTAATGTAATACAATAGAGAGTCGGATAACATAACAGTCAACGCCCTACCTGGTTGATTACGTTCTTCCTGAGAATGCTAAATTTGAGAGAGAGATAAAACACAGAACCAGAGACATATAGACAGACACATAAGCAGACATATATCAGAGATACATAGAGAACAAACATAGGTCGGGGACTATCTGTTTGCTTAAACACGTGATTATTATTAATCCCTGATCGCTTCTGCGTGGATTCAATATCGGCCGTTCTATAGGATTCGGGGGGAGGGGGTGCGTCAAATCGAACGTACGCAGGTGGGGGGAGTGGGGGGCTCAAGTTTTGACAGATTTTTGCGTCCCCACTAAATGGATGGCCCCTAAACCCATCGTGCGGATGGCGAGACATTGAAGTGACTTAAAAAGAGTTCGCTTTGTTGTGATCAATATCCCTCGGGGCACGGCGTCTGTGGAACTGCTCACTGCCGGAGCCTCGAATGTTACCTCTTTTCTCTTGTGGCGATGTTGCTGATGATGATGATGGTGGCAATGATGGCAATGATGCGATAATAAATGGCGTGAATTTTTGCGAATACCGCGATATCGGATTCCGTCATTGGTGTTTGGCCCGATACACATCAGGATCGATGTACTCGCGGAACTTTCGCCGTCGTCGATTATTCGGCTGCAGTTCACTGAACACGCGAGGCTGCTTGCTGCCTTTGGGGCCGTCCATAAATGACGTCACGCGATTTTGGGCGATTTTTGACCCCTCCCCCCCCTCGTCACACGGCGTCACAAAAAGTCAGACCCCCCCTCAAATATGACGTCACAAAACTCTGCCCCTCAAAAAAATAAAACATGCTTCAAATCGCTTTAAACTATTGTCATTGTAGTGCGTATTGAATGTGGCGCTGCACTCTGATGTTGTAGGAGAAAACATTTATGAAAAAGTCTATTTAATTAAGTAGAACGTGTTGTCTATATTTATTTAAAGTTGCGCATTTTGATGTGACGTCACATTTCTCAACCCCCCCCCCCCCTCGTCACACATCGTCACACATGTCTGACCACCCCCCCCCTAGGTGCGTGACGTCATTTATGGACGGCCCCTTAGGTATTGACAATCAGCACAAGCGAAACAACGTGAAAGCCTCATGACTGTCAACTCGCTCTTATTTTTAATGGGCAACTGGAATTTTTTTTTTCATTAAGAAAACTATTAGTTGAATTGTTTTTACTTCATAAAGTGTCAGTGCGTACATCTTAGTTTTTGGTCGGGAAATAAATAATTTACATTTTGTGTTTAATAAATTATAAAACGAGTCGTGCGATTTTATCGTAGGTAATGTCCAAATCGCAACGACGCTCCTGACGATGTCGTCATTGGCTCCACATTTCTTCCAGGATGCGTCCAACAACAATAAACTATAGATTGCGTAAAAATAATGTCAAACGAGTGGGATCATCCGTGGTGGTGAGATGTTAAGTGCCTCGCCTGGTATACAGGAGGTCGTTGGTTCAATTATCATCACGGTGGCTTGGAGATGTTAACTACCTCGCCTGGTGTGCAGGAGGTCGTGGGTTCGAAACCAGACCCTGACGCCCGCTGCTGTATATTTGGAGTTTGCGTGTCTCCACGTGGTCGCGTGGATTTTTTCTCTGAGTACTCCGGAATTTTCCCCTCCACATTTAGAATCGACACACGTTTAGACTATTTGGCTGAAATACATTTCCACACGATAAGCCACTTTGTTGAGCTATAATTTGTGGCCAGGTCGCTTCTGAAAATAGCTATGTATAGAAGATGAATCCCTGCAGTCACGAAAGCTTTAAATCGAAAATTAAATCGAAAAAAAAAATCGTAGTTTTTATCGATATAGTTGCGATGTCACTCGTCTTAGCCTTGTAAATAAATCGGTACGACTACGGTAACGTGTTTTGATACATTTGGTCGTCCCAATGTCTACTCTGGCCCATGGACTAATATCAGCAGAGTTGGAATGTAACTGCGACAAACGCAGAAGAATAAAAACAACTCGTTTGTGAAGACTCCGGAAACAGCTTGGAGCACGAAGTCTGTATTTGCATGCCGATGTTTGTTTTCTTGCTGTTCATCATCATCCTCAGCCATGCTCAATAAATCCACTGTTAGTTGAAGCCTCACACCTCCCCCCCGCCCCTCAAAGCTGCCTCCATTTCTCACGATGGTGCCATTTCCTCCTGAACCTTGATGCTATTCAAATTACCTGTTTAATGGGGTTTCTCCGGACACTCCGGTTTCTGTCAATTATTCACCAATAGGAATTGGGGCACACATTCCTGAGTAGGACTCGCGAATGGACATTATGAAGCCATGGGGGTGTTTTTGGTCGTGACCACTTGGCGTCAAAAATCCTATAGTTTCAAGTTTCATTTATTTAGGTGTAGCCCTGTGAGCCATTCGGCTCTTGAATCGGGTGCAACCGCAACAAACAAAAAAACTAAAACATGAACAAGAAAACATCTTAAAGTGACTATGTGCAAACAGAAAATCCAAGAAAAGACAGCAAAATATTTCAGAAAAAGAACCGTACACCAACACTGTGTGCAAAATCCCAGTGGGATGCAAGTCAAACAACAACAACAACCACAAGACAACTTAGATTAAGGCCATCAGTCTAACTCTGTACTACAACAAACAAACATGGCCAAACCGAAAAACTTTTCAAAAATCACCAATATAAAGCCATAAAAGCAATGAAACAGTGATCATAGGAACTGTGACCGAATTTTCACAATAAACGACGTAAACAACATGTATTACCAAACTCTGCAGCCATAGCTGGCTGCATGAGTCACTCCACAACAGCAGGAGCATCAGTCGGAGTGTCAACATTTTTCCGTGTCCCCCGTAGGTTGTTCTCGCCATGAGCGGCTAGGGTTTGGGATAGATAAATTTGGGCAGCCATGTTAGCGTACATATACCATCTGTTGTTATTTTTTTTCCGCATTTGCCACTCTGCGTGGTTACCGATAAGACATTTTTTTGGACGAATGGCTCAAGAATCGGAAAATGAGTTCGGGCCCTAGTAAGGGCGCACCGCGAGATATTGGTCAGCAGGTGGCGATGAGAATCCACGAGTCCGGAGCAGATTTCAAATCTGGAACCCATTCTACTCGGCCTTGTTTTATGAATTAATTAGTCATTAAAGATATAAACCTATAGAATCACACGGACAACCATATACTCACACAGAGACCTATAGACTCACACAGACCCATAGACTCACATAGATACCCATATAGGCTCGTTATGGACGTGAGTTCACACAAGAGACCCATAGACTCACACAAACCCATAGACTCACGTAGAGACCCACAGGTTCATAGTGGACATGAGTTCACGATGCGTTCCACTGTTTTTGTCGCGGTTCGCCGCAGTTGGATTTGCGTGATTTTTTTTTTCCATTTCTGAAATAAGAGATTGCACCTGCTGGGGCCGGTTCGACCACTATTCGTCGCTTTACAATAATATTGATGATAGTAATCACGTACAGCGCATTGTATATCCACTGCTTGCTGTCTTTGGGGGAGGGGGAGGCCTGCCACCACCAGCTGTGGTATGAGAAAGCACATTGGTGAGCAGCACTTTTTAACCTGTCATGGAAATGTGGAATTTCGCTAATTGAAAACAATTTAAAGGCAGGTGCCCCCATGAGCCAAATTATATATCGTTCGAAACGAACGTTATTGGCCGTGGCCAGAAATCCGTTTCAGGTCGAGTGAAGGGGTTCGTTAGCGCAGTGCGCTAACCGTTGCACCACCGCTCTCCCCCCTTACCTCCCTCAGCACTCGTGCATGTAACTGCTGTTGTGCGAGTCACATTTACAAAGGTTCGTAATGAAACCCGGTGGTCTACACTATGGGGACCTCATTTGCCAGTAAAAATATGATAATTGGTTCTTTACCCTTCTATCTGGCAACAAAACTGACACCTTTTTACAAGGAGTCATGTTTGCATAGACCGCAATACCTGCAGTCATAATACAAACAAAAGAAAGCTGTCTCGGGTGTGGACCAATCAACTTCAAGGACAGTGCACATTATCAGAGTTATGTTCTTTTGTTTGTATTATGACTGCAGGTATTGCGGTCTATGCAAACATGACTCCTTGTAAAAAGGTGTCAGTTTTGTTGCCAGATAGAAGGGTAAAGAACCAATTATCAAACCCGGTGGTCTTTATGAGAGCAGGTGAGGGCCATTGAGACTCGGTGAACCCTGCCGGTATGTTGCGCAATACGGACCTGCAATCTGGACTTGCAATGGGACGGGACGGATTCGGGCCTTTGCTTGTGTGCATTCAAGAGTTCTACGAGCGAAGTTGTGTGGTCTTGGATTCGATCCCAAATACGAAGCACCGTAGTAGACGCGTGCGTGAAGCTGATTCCCTTGCTGAAGTAAAACTCACAACCACGGCCCGCATCAGTGGCAAGTGATATTGGAACCGGTCCTGATCAGCGTGGAAGTGTGGTAAAAAAAATAACGCATCCATGAGCCGGCATAACGAATGAAGGGCATGTCATCCAACGATAGATTGAGAATGGGAATACCACTGTTTGGCCTTAAAAGGGGGGACAGTATAATAGACGACGTTTCGGGCAATGACCCTTTTTGATAGCACATGAATAGGCCAGAGAGGCAGTGTGGATACTAAACGTTGACACCGTGGGTACCTATATTCTTGGTTCTTTCGGTAAAGTCACGTAAAAGGGAAATAATAAAATAATATAAATATTAAACAATAAAAATTCTCACGACGTTTCGACTGCAACACAAGCAATCGTCATCAGGTGTGAAATCCACAGCAAGAAAATTGGAAAAAAAGAAAAAATCCAACGTGGGTACCTGATGAGAGATGTGACTGTATTTGTAAGGGCAAACAAACATCTCACAATAAACCGCAGCATCAACAGTTTGATGTCGCGTCTGCCCAAGGCAAGTGCACGCGTGCGTGGCAGAAACAGGGCAGGGTTTAAAATCTCACTCCGCATTTCCCGGAGTTCTGCTCGGCCGGCCTGGATTATGTTTTATCGGCGTAAGGCACTACCACTAGAGTTAAAACAAAAACGTATACGCCTATACATAACATTCCCTATAGTCGTGTACTCTATATTCCTATAGACAGATTTATAATAAAAGATTAAATATAAAATATAGGCGAGATGGATGTGGTTGAGTGCCAACATCATTTTCGAGACTGTTTCGGCTGAGATTAAGCGCTGCTCATCGATACACTGGAAATAAATTGTAATCGACTTTCTGCCAAGTTGTTGGCCAGCATTGATTCAATATCCAAGCAAGGCCTGACTCTGCTGATGAGACACTGCGTGTCGAAACCGATCTGGAATAATTGCTTGGAGCGAAATCAACGATGAAGGCCGTGGGGCCGATGGGTTGTGTAAAGAATACTTTTTAAAAAAGACACGTGAAATGTGGAGAGACGAATATGTGAAGGAGACGCTGTTAGGCTAATCTATTCTGTAATCGACTATTGTGCTTCTGGCAGTGATGTGAGACACGTGGTGGGTGAGCGTGGCAATTCGGTTAAACGCGTATCTGATGCGACTTTGCACATTGCGAGCCACCGCTGGCGGGGTCTTTGCTATCAACAATAAGTAATATTTAAAAAAAACACGCTTTAATGAAATGTACCCGACTAGTAATGGAAGAACTCCACGACTCCAGGAAGTGGCCCCGAAGCTTGCCATAACGTAAGGGACCTTGGTCAATTACAGCCAACGTGAGTTGACCGTGGACAATTAGACCCAAGCCGAAACATAACATATACAAAGTAATGTTTTAAAAAATATATGTTTTAATGATAGAATATAGTATTGTCATCAGTATGACATAAGTATACCAAGTTTGCAGTCGATACCACATTGGGAAGTGGGTTAAAATTGAGTTCAATATTTGAGGATACGACAACCACAACAGAAAGGGAGTTAATAGAAAGCGTGTAAAAAACAACGGCAATTCGCCACTAATTGGCGGTGACGTCACCATGGTGGCTTGTGCCAGGCTAGGTGCACTTTGAGGCTATGGCGTGAAGTGTCGCAGGCTCGTTGGCAGGAGGTCATGGGACAGACCCAGGTGCCATGGGTTGACTGACTGAGATGACAGACAGATGCACCACTTGTGCCCCCTACTTTGCGAACTTGCTGTGTTTTAGCTGCCCGGCACTCCGCTCGTTGTTGTGGGATATCACGCACACGACGGGATATCACACAAACAATACACACATGCAAAAACACAAATCCAGACATAATCACACACAGAAACACGTACAGACATAGTCACACGCATATGCAAACACGCACAAACATATATACAGTCACATATACAAAGGCAATTGAAAACACACACAGTCCATGCTAATACACACACACTTACATTCAGATGTGTCATCACACACACAGAAACCACACACATGCAAATACACACATCCACGTACGCTGGACATACACACATGCAAATACACACACACAGAGTTACAAAGACTCCCCTCATTTCTTCCTTAACAGACTGCTGGGTCGAGTGATGGCACACGAGGGAGTCTTTTGCCAGCACCACGCCCGGCCACCGTTGTCTGCCAGGTTCTGATGTTTATACACCGCACCGCCTACTAAACTGAGACTGATTCGACCCACGGAGAGGCCCAGGACCGGTCCAGATATTCGCCACTGATGTGAGCTGTGAGCGGGAAGCAAACTCGGGCCACTGCATTCGTAGGGCAGTCCGCTAACCGCTACACCACTGCTCTTCTCACACACACGTAGATACACAGCATACACAAACTCATACTACTGTAAACACACCAATGTACATATACACGCGAAGCGTATACTCTACTCACACACGTACACAATTGGGTACATGGTGAGCGAGGCGATGACTGGGTGACCGATGTAAATTCTCCATAATAGAGGGTTTTGGGTAAGATCGCGTAAATATATAAATGTGTCGTTAAAACCCACCACCACCCGGCACAGCCAACTCGTAAGGGTGGTCACGTAAACAGAACGTGCCAATTCGTCACTAGTACAGCAAACCGGTGTGTTGGAGAGCCAAGCCACAACATTTACAATCTGAGTACGACGTTTCACCAGTAATAACAACCAGCTTCATCAGGCGACAGCCAGATTTGTGGAGAAGTCTTACTGTTTCGTTCCTTATATAGAGGCGTAGATGAGTTCTAGAAGGTCTAGAAAGCCGAGTGATCGATGTAAAGTCAAATTTATGCTCTAGAAGGTCTGGGAAGTTGAGTGAACGGTGTCAACTCCAATTGTGTTCAGGTCTGGATATCTGAGTGGAAGATGTAAAGTCTAATTCATGTTCTAGAAGGTCTGGGAAGTTGAATGACCGACCTCAATTCCAATTGTGTTCTAGAGCGACTGTAAAAGCCGAGCGATCGATCTAAATGAGAACTTATGTTCTAGAAGGGCTGGAAAGTCGAGTGAACGATGTCAATTCTAAAGCAAGGGCGGTCGGGAGTGTGTGGGTGGGGTTTGCACTCCAACCATCCCCGCAAGGTGTTTTCCAACAACGACTGTTAGTTAGATCTTTGCCCCCAATCTGCCGTGCCACTGTTCACAGCGGCTATACAAATCGACCCCCAGTAGCGGCCCCAAATGTCTCGGCTCCCTGACAGCTAACGCGTGTTTGGGTTATGTAAGCGGCGTGTGTGTTGGGGGAGCGGTGGTGCAGCGGTTAGCGCTACACTGCACTGTGAACCCGGCTACCCGAGTTCGATTCCCGTTCACGGCCAACACCCAGTGACGATTTATCTGAACCGATCCTGGGCTTCACATAGGTCGACTCAGCCTCAAATGAGAACCTGGTGCGTTGTGTAAACATGACTTACGTGTTTGTTGGGGGTAGAAAGTTGATTTTATTTTTTTATTACCTTAGGGACTTTGCTTAACCCCTGACTCGGGCCAATAGGGACAGCTGGAGATATCGCCACACATGGACCTGTGACAAAGATCCCACGTATAGCCTTGACAGACTGGAGGGGCAAGTGCTGTTAGCGAGGGCCTATGGAGACCGGTACACGAGGAGGGGTTTGCGGGTGGGGATTTGGTGGCTAGTACCACGCCGGGCCGCCTTTGTCTCCCCGGTGGCGATGTTTACACACAAGCGCACCAGGTCAAAAAACTAGGCGAGGCTCACGACTGATTTAGATATAATCCTCACCGATGTTGGTGGTGGTGGTGGTGGTCGTGAGCGAGGATCGAACTCGGGTGCCTCCGGGTTCGTAGGGCGACTCGTTAACCGTTACAACAACTGGTCCTTATGGCGGTACCAAATAATACAATCTGGCCGAGGCAATTAAATATTTTATTTCTGGGACACTTTTTTTCCAGGGGTGTACTTACATCCGCGAATGGGGTACCAATCAATCCGAAATCAGTGCCACTCCGCGATGTCGAAAAACCAAACTTGAGCATAAAAAAAATCCGTTCTCGAAAAATTCAACTCTGAATCGTGCATCGTGTACAGCTCGTCGAGATGAGTCGATTGCCGCATCGCCGACCATCGACAGACAAACAAATGACTGAATCACGGATATTGTGCGAGAGCCGGGGCACTATGGGACCCCAGGGTTCAACTGCCGCTGTCACCCCCCCCCCCCCTACAAAGATGGCGGTCACACGCATCGCTCGGCGCTTTCAAACGTGCCACTTCTGCGGCCGTCTGGAACGCTCTTCTCCCATCAGATATTCGGAAGCCGCTTGGAGGAGCTGTGCGCGCTTTTTAAATCTGCGTTGTTGAAAACTCATTTCTTTAGGACAGCTTTTCTGCGACTCGTTTGTTTATCCGTAACCCCGACGCTCCGATAAGCGCGGTTGGTACGAACGGTGTGAAAGAAGTGCAACATACCTGCAAAGTATCTCTCACACACAGAAACACACGCACTGCTACTTGTGTATACTGTCGTGAACCATCACTCTGTATAGTGAACAACATGAATCCACGGCCGATAATATAAAACATTTCTTTATTATTGCCAATTTAAGCTTTGCCTTCACATTCCTTCCATCAGTACACAAACATATATTACTCTTAAATAAATGAGGATTTACACGAGCCATCCGTGTCGTACGCTGCCCCAATCAACGATGATACGCGAGCTGGCATCCAATGACTTACATGAATTAACCCTTTTAAGCTCTTGGTCCATTTACTTACACACACATATATATATACAGTATATAGCAACATTCATGGCACAACTCCGTCGACTTAAAACAACGCAAGACTAAGAATGACACCCATTGCTCTACATAATTTTGCCTGCACGTCCCATCACGAACGGTCACCCGACTTTCAAATGGAACACAATTCGACCGCTCACCCAAAAAAATATCTCAGCCAGCTGTGACCATTTCTGGAGGCCATAGACCTGGTCGGTGATGCCACTGCGTGCTGATCTGCAGCGGTGCACAAGACAATTCATTAATTATAAAAAACACTCAACACCATCGGCAGTAACACCATCGTCTTAAAATGGAAACCATTAGGTGACGTTTCGCGAAATAGTCCTTCAAAGCCCCTAAATTAGGGCCATTACCCAAAACGTTGCCACGTTATATATTTGACGCGTTAAGGCTACAGCGGTATTGACGATCGTGTTGAGTTTCTTACAATAAGTTTTCTACTTTCACCCAGATTAACGGAGTGGAATATAGCACAGCTTTTTATTTTTCCGCTGTCGTGCCTGTAAAAGTCCTCAGGATGTGTGCTTGCGGGCTGTTCCACGCACGGCGACAGCCCCGAAAAACGCAACGCAGATCTTTGGGTTTTCCGGGGAGGAATTTTCATTTGGGGCGCCAAATCCGAGTCGGGTGACATCTCCCTCCTCTCTGTCAACAGGAGCGGCACGGTGTCGTGGTTGTTTGGTTATCATTTAAAAGCTCTGCATCACCTGTTCTTTGTATTCGTCTAGATTTGGGATGTGCGAGTGTCTGAAAAGACCTTTGTGTGCGTGTGATGCCTTTGGTCAAACTATATATATATTTTCAAACCTATTGGCTGCTTCCTTCGTGTTGCTTGATGTGTTGCGTTCACTTGTACCATATGCTTGCCGTTAGTGCCGTGAAAAAACAAACAAACCTATTTTTCAAAAAAGAAAATCGGCCATCCAAAACGACTACTCGTTAATCTCTGGGCAAGATAAATAATACACTTCTTAGTTTTTAATATGATTCCAGCACTTCGGTGGGAGAGGGTTTTGGTGGATCACACCAAAAGAGATTTGGAAAAAAAAAATCCCAAAGCAGCTGGATTCAAAAGTGTCCAGAAGGTGTAAGTACAGCAACTGAGTTCACTGAATGTGTGTGGCCCTTTTGAGTGTCATACCCTCACACACACAGTGGGGTTTCTCCAGATACTTTCATCCCACATAAAGCAAAACGCTCCTTTAAAACAAAATCGTTTGGCCAAAAGGCCCAAATCCAGACTCTGCGAGGCTTGCCTGGGTAAATACGTGACATTCGCGATTTCTGTAAACTCTCAGCAGGATAGTTTTAGGTTTTTTTCTTTCTTACAACGGTGCCTAAAAGATGTAAAACGAAGCAGCAACAACGATTTCGAGACGAACTGTTTTACAAACACAGCACGCTAAAATATCTAAGAACTTTGCTCTAAGTGCGGGTTTCTACTCGCTCGTATTTAAACGCACCACCTGTCAACTAGGGTATAGTCCTTTGCTTTACAGCGCGAGACAGCATTGGCATGAAGTAGAAGGCAGGTGTTGGCGATTGTTCCGTTGACAGTAAGAGCCCAATTCATATTTTTGGGGGGCAGTCGTATACCGGAAATGAAACGGACAGACAGACGGAGTACTAAGATCGGAGGAACAAAAAAACAAATGAGAGACACCATGCGGACTATTAGACATTGGATAGGACACGTATCGTGGCTGCAAGGGACGATCGTGGTCGATGGATCGAGACTGATGATCGAGAGAATACATACGGGACAAATGACCACTACTGTGGATGTGGGAGCGATGATATTGGTTCACGTGTGCGGGGGGGGGGGGAAGGCGCTGGATCATGGCATCGGTATGTACCACGACGGGTGGCGACAGCGTAGGTATGTCTTCATCTAGCAGGGGATAAAAACGCCGATTGCCTTCGCAGGTTTTAAAACAACACTTTGGCAGATTTGGTGCTGCGGCCAGGACAGAACGTGATGGCCTGCCGTCAAGCAGGATTACGGGCCTACACCCGCTCCTCTCAAACCGTCAAATTGCACGGCACGTTGCAAGCAAACTGCAGGGTGCAATATACTTTACAGTTCTACGGAGTATCACAAAAGTGAAGGTTTCAGACAACCGTAAACACCCAATGCAAGGAAGGGATGGGTGTCCTGGGGATACGCTTAGGCACATAGTGAGAATGATTGTCAAGTGACGAACCACTTGTAAAATATTAACGGCATTATTATAAACAAAGTCAAGTAAAAAAGTCTCCCTGCTCAAAGAGCATTGAGGCAGTGCTAATTTTCCACTGTGGTGTACCGCTTACCAGTGGTGGAAATTCCACAATGCTATGGTGGGTAGCAGTGTTTCCATAGGACAACAACTATTGCTTTTTATTCATTCTAATAAGGCACAATTTTAATCTAGTTTTGCAGTTAAAGGCCCCATTTTACAGCATTTGCATCTCGTGGAATCACACCGACGTACAGCACGACACAGGCAGCACCAGTCCTTGTGTCCATACACCCAAGGCCCAGTCATTTTGGTTTTCCAGGTCACCACTTAATTGCCTGGGGTACTTGTCCCCAACTTGGCTGGCTTCCTGAGGCATTGGCCAACAAAATGCCATGTGGGGCCACTGGCCACGAACATGGCCACCTAAAGCACTGGCCACCAACATGGCCACTTAACGCACTGGCTACCAACATGGCCACCTAACGCACTGGCCACAAACATGGCCACCTGACGCACTGGTCACCAACATGGCCACCTAACGCACTGCCTACCAACATGGCCACCTAACACACTGGCCACCAACATGGCCGCCTGATGCACTGGCCACTAACATGGTCACCTAACGCACTGCCTACCAACATGGCCATCTAACACACTGGCCACCAACATGGCCACCTAACGCACTGGCCACCAACATGACCGCCTGACGCACTGGCTACCAACACAGTGACATGAGGCACTGGCTACCAACATGGCCGCCTGGAGGCATCATGCAACAACATAGTCACCAAGAGCACTGGTCACAAACGTGGCTGCATGCAGCTTCAGACACACACTCATCGTGTAAAAAATGCTTTTTGCAATTAAAAATAAAACGTAGTTCTCTCGAAGAACAACCAGAAATTGATTAAGGTTGGAAACGAGTAGTGCAACGATGGCACAGGTTACACAGCTGCGAGGCGAGTGGCGTAAAGAGGTGATTAATGGCCGGCCACGTCAAATACGTTTATCAAAAGCCTCCCTTAATTTAGACCGATTTAGTTGGGAAACTAAGGGAAGGAAATGTATGTATGTTGAACTTCTTTCACACCATACACACTAATCGGAGGTGCGGGGGAAGGACAGCAAAAAATGTCTTCACTTAACTAATGGAAATATATTCACGTTACTGAGGGTAATGTCTTCACTTAACCGACAGAAATGTATTCGCTTAACGGAGGGAAATGTATAAACTGAGGGAAATTTATAAACTTCATTGAAGGAAAATGTCTTCACTTCACTGGGAGAAAAGTCTTCGCTTAACTGAGGGAAATGTATTCATCTTTCGTTGCTTCGCGCAACCAAATGCATGCCCGTGCCACCATCAACCACCAGCACCAACTGCCACAAACTTTGGCGCCAAGTTGCCATCAACAACCTCTCTGGGCAATGGGCGACAGTGGCCAGCAGGTGTCGTGAGAGGCACCCAGGCGGGCGGAGCAGGACCGCACTTTTTGGTTCGACCGTGAACATCGTGCGGCTATTTACGAGTAGCATACGACATTGTGGCGATTGATGAACAACAATAAAAAAGGCGCGAAAATGCAATACGTGAGGGATGCGGCCACTTTTCCCTGCGCCAAAACTGCGTGAGACTCCAGGAGCTGTGGATAACTATTTGAGTCGTTTTTGTGTTTGTTTCTGTATTGAGTGAGCAGCAATAGGTCACGAACTTTCCAGTATAAACACGAGCGGTTCCATCGCTGACGTCGGGAATTTACAGTAAATGAGTCAGGAAAGTTATTTTTGTTCTGGAATTTTCTTTTTTTTATACTTTGCCACTTTACGTCTCCTCACGTTGTAAATACAAAAACAAAACTTGGGAATGTGATGCACTCCTTGGCGTGTGGTAACTTCCAGTTGTCGGAATCGAAGTTCATGATTTAAAAAGAAACAACAAAAATATTTCTTGAGGGTTTGGTCGGAGAGATGAGATGGGCTAGACGACCGGCTCCCACGTTCCTTGCTGGCGGTCGGAAGAGACCTGTGGGTACAGAGAGATAATTAATCATCGTCGTCGTCATCAGCAGTAGTACGATCATCAGTATCATCGGTATCAGCAGCAGCGCAATCATCAGCATCACTGTCATCTAAATCACAATTAGCAGAAAGCACTTTTTGTCAGCAGAAGCGGTAGTAGCATGGAGATTATCAGCTTCGTCACCACCATCAACACCACCGTCAGCAGTATTATCAGCCAACGCAAATAAAAAAAACAATCGTCCTCACCATAACGTGCTCCGCTCCTCACTTAAAACCCATCTCTTCTCCCTAGTCGACCCCTGGCCAAGCCCATCCTACTACCTACCCACCTTGCCTCTGCCCCCCAGCTACGACGAAGCCTACCCCAACCCCTACACCCCTATCACTGCAATTTAAACATAGCATTTCCCTCGCCCGGTATACAGGAGGTCGTGGGTTCGATGCCGACACTGACGCCTGCTGTTTATTTGGTGATGGCATGTCTCTTTCCCTGTGGTCGCGTGGATTTTTCCTCTGGGTGCCCGGGTTTTCCCTCCACATTTACAATCATAATGGCTTGAGATTATTTGCCAGCCATACGTTTTCCACGTGATAAGCCACTTCGTTGAGCTATCATTTGTGGCCAGGTCGCTTGCTGCAAAAGAGCTAATAGCTCAGTGGACCTTACCTGGTAAAATAAGAATAAGTATAACCCGTAAAAACAAAGTTTTTCACTCTAAATCCTTTATATGCGTGGCGGCTAGAGTCCTCTCGTCCTCTGGCTTGAGATGGCTGCCACCTATGGGTCAGATGATTGTCTGCCAGTATTAAACAATTGGTAATTAAATATTTAATTTGTTTTCCCTAAACAGTGTAAAATGTTAGAAAAAAAATTTCACGAACATTACTTGTCTCGCACAACGAGTCTGTGTGCAAAATGTCAGCTCGATTGGATCACGAGAAGTGGGTTAAAAAATTACCAAAAGATTTGCACGGTCGTAAGCAAGCAAGCACGCAAGCAAGCGAACTTAATATAAAGGATTTAAAAATGGTTTCGTTTAGATACTGTATCACTGAAAGTAACCTTCAGCAATTTATCGAAGCAAACCCTCGCCGGGTCGTTTGGGGGGCAGTGACAAGGAAGCGATTGTTTTTTCTGCGTGTGCGAGGAGAAAAAAACCCAGACCGCCTGGAAAATAAACTCCACCCGGTAAAACGCAGACGGACGGGGGGGCTCACAGGCCACCTGAGGTGCACTGCTACAGCCATGGACGCCACCGCTACTGCCACCACTGCTGGGAAAACCGGGGGGGGGGGGGGAGGTCACGAAGTTCTTTCAACACTTTATATTTTTTTACGCGAGGGCAAGGGCGTTCGCGTGACAGAACTTTTAACGGAAACGGGTAACGAAAGCCGAAAACCTGAAACCGCCGCAATAAAAGTGTTTTATTTAATCTTAAAACCTCATCGCGACACGCGAGCACGTGGCGGGTCGGAGTGACGTGGCACGGCGGTAAATGGCCGTATCGCCCGCTGTTAACTTTAGGGTCGCTGGCGGCGAGAAGCGGTGGCAATGAAAGTTTCGCGGACTCGTTCACGCCATGCGTTCAGTTTCCACGATCGTAGATAGCTTCGCGTGCACGTTTGCGCAATGACAAAGATTCCTCCCCCCCCCCCCCCCCGTATCAGCCTTTAACAGGCTGTTGAGGCAAGTGCTGTTACAGTGAGCACCTATGAAGGTCGGCACGGCACACGTGGGAGGTTGGTGACCAGCACCACGGCTGGCAGCCTTTGTCTCCCTCGTGGCGATATTCACACATCGCAGTGGGTAATCAATTAAGGCCGAGTCGACCTAGGGGGAGATCCAGGAACCGGTGCAGATATTCGTCACCGATGTTGGCCGCGAGCGGGAATCGAACTCAGGTGGCAGGCCAAGTTCGTTGTACGGTGCGCTAACCGTTGCGCCACCGCTCCCCACGCATGGTCGTACGCACAACACACACACACCTTGTGCCAGGCTTCTCTTTTTCTCTCGTTAGTCTAGGAGACAAAGATCACCCGGCAAGCCTTACTTAACAAGCTATTGGGGGGAACTGCTGTTAGCGAGCACCTGTGAAGGTCAACAGGGCACACGAGGGAGGGGGAGGGTGGTCAGCACCACGCCCGGCCGCCTTTGTCTCCCCAGTGGTGACGTTTACTACACACCGCAGCAGGTACTAGTAGTAGTCCAGTAGCCACACTGCTTCACCCCACACGCACAGTGCACACATGCACCCGGCCACCGCCCGCCACACTTCAATAGTGGAAACACAAATGGAGGAAATACAACGTTTTTTTTTTTAAACCAATGGCTTTGGCGGTACCTCAGATGAAGAGAGCTGATTTTTTTTTGCGTGTGTTTCAAATATAGCTCGAGTTTTTTTGTTATATATATCTTTAGTAATGTATTTTGTCATTGACTCGTTAAGGCAAGAGCAGGAATGTAGAACACAGACAGACAGAGCTAACATTCATTACGACAATGTTGCCATTGAACTATACCGGGGTGGCCCGACTCCAAAATCTAACGTGGATCAAGTTTAAAGATAAATGGCAGCCCAATGTCAAACCACTGTTGGGTAAAGGCCTCCTTACGCCGTCTAAGTCATGTTTTTTTTTACCATACTTCACCACCACTGGCTATTGATGTAAGAGGGGGGAGGGGGGGGGTGGGCGGCCGAGATATTTTTCAGAAATCACTCGCTTCTGACCGCTAGCCGTGACTGGGAACCAAAACGCGGGTCGCCAGGTTCATAGTGCGGTGGCACCCGCTCCGCTCGAAATTCTTCTCACTTCATCGGAACAGACATGGGAGCTGTGATCTGTGTGACGGGGGGTGAAGTAAGTTCCCCGCTGTTGATCTGTGATCATTCCGACCCCCGATTCCACGCACAACGCCGCCGTTCCCCCACGTACGTACGCGTGATCACGCGCCTCCAAAAAAATATACTTAAAAGGTCCCAGCGACGGCAAGGGCCATCATTGTTCTTTTGTAAAATAATAACGTTGCCCACGGCATCACGTGAGGTGAAAGCGAGCGTACATTGTTTACAACCGTCCATTACGACCACAGCCCCCATCTGTCTCGTGACTCGAGAGAGGCGATTGCCTGCGACGCGAGAGGAGGCACGAGAACCCCCCTTGTCATGTGAGCACCCTAATGCTGGTCAGGCGGCAGTTGTCTAAATTTTTTTGACTTTGGTGGACGATTCACCTCAGGCGTCCTCTCATCCTCTGTTTCCCTGCTGACGGGGCTCAATTATCAGCAGCGGCGAGAGTCCGCTCCCTGAACGATTCCTCCGGGATTTCTGACCTGTTCCCGACTGGACATCTGTGTTAAAATAATATAAAGAGCTTTATAGCTCATCGGATTCCTCCAGTCTAAATAAAGATTCTGATTCTGCATCCACCTCGCTGCCCTATTTCGCCCTAAATCTGGTTCGTAGGAGCGGAGACGCGGCCCACTGGTAGCGTTTTTGGGGCAGGCTTGCAGTTTGAATCCGGCAGGCCGTCCTGGTTAATACTTTTGGCGTCTTAACCGTAAAATTTGGGCCGTCTGTTTCGCGGTGGACGTTAAAGTTCCCCTCGCGTAATTCGCAAGAGCTGGTCATTGCGTGCCGGCGACATGGACTACATTTTCGAAATTTAAAAACGACCTGAAAATTACTTATTTGTGATTTTACAGAGCGATCATTGCCCCCGACTGGCACGATAATGCCCGATTGCAGGCCAGGTGCTAAATCACCTTTTGCCCACAGGGACAGCAGCCTAGTGGGGGTGCCGTTTCAAATGTGTCGAGATGAGATGCAAGTCGCCTGTTGGGTGTAAAGCACTCCGATATGTCCAGGCTTGGAAGGGCGTTCTTTCAAAAACAAATCGTAGGATTATCAGAATTCAGGGTACAAAATTATAGGCTTGTTATGGATATGCACCCCTTGTACTGTAGCGGTACTGCACGAGACCGATAATTATTCTTGTAAAGAGCCAGGACGAGCCACGGCATGACGACACGATCATCGTGGAGGTTGATACCTCGCGATGTCCTGCCGTGTCTCAGCGACCCTAGCTCCTGCTGAGAGACGGCAGTGGCGAGGAGCCACCGGCGGTCGTTGTTTTCGGCTGCGCCCCGCTGAGCCCTCGGGTGTTTGTGAGCGGCCAGCTTCACGCGTCGCCCTGGTGAAGGGCGACTCGAGCCGATCATTAACTCGTGACGAGGCGAGAGAAACGAACGGGCGGGAGAGGCGTATATGGGTAACAAAATAATATATATTTTTTATTTTACCAGGTAAGGCCCCACTGAGCTGTTTGGCTCTATTTCACAAGCGACCTGGCCACAAATGATTGCTCAACGAAGTGAATGATCACGTTTCTAAATGTGGAGGGGAAAAACCGGAGGACCCGGCGAAAAACCCAAGCGACCACAGGGAGAGAGAACACGCAAAATCCAAATACACAACAAGTGTCAGGGTTGGGATCGAACCCACGACCTCCTGCATACCAGGCGAGAGAGTTAACATCTCACCACCGTGGCACCCCTGGGTTAGCTGGGGATCGGATGCGAAGGTGAACATTAGAATCAGAATTTTTTTTTTTTTAGAATGGAGGTTACAGATGTCCAGTTGAGGTCGGGTCAGCAAGTTACATTGGGGACATTAAATGGACACACAGCCAGGTGAGTGACAGTCTGGCAGCTGAGAGGTGAGCGCAGAGACGGGTAAGACGGTAGGTCAGCAGGTGTGCTCGTAGGTTAGAAAGCAGACAGGTGATTTGGGAGGCAGACGCACTTGTGCGCTAATCGGTATGGATACAACAAACAGGGCAGCTGGTTGCCAGGGAGACGGATCGTTGCCGTGGGAGACAGGTGGGCTCCACGGGACCCGCTTGGCCAGGTAAAGGGGAAGAGTCCAAACAACGTTGCATGTAGGCACGGGCACCCGGCTCGCCTGGCATATCGCCAAGCCAATTGGCTCATTAGCTCACCTG